ATGAAGGCCCGCGTACGAGAGCTTGAAGAGCAACTAGCAGAGGTAACAAAGCGCGAGGGCGTAAAAGAAAGCGGATTCAGACAGGCGGGACACTAGAATTTGGTGCAGGAGCATCGCAGGCAGCTGAAAGTGCTTCTACTAGTCGTATAATATCAAAGAAAGCGCGTGGTGGGGGTAGTCAAGAAAAGGCCCAGCCAGGTCAACGGCACTGTGGAATCTGTGGGAGAGTGGGCCATAACGCCCGTACGTGCCAAAAAGATGTAGAAGAAGATTCTATGTTAGATGCAAGTGAGTCGTACGAAGCATCTATAGCTAGTGTAGAGTAATTCAAGTTTTCATATGTGATGTTCGCGATGCCAAGAAAAAGTGGCACACTCGGTGGGGTGGCACTCTCGGTGGTGGAATACGTTATACTTAGTTAAAATTAAAAGCCTATTTAAGTTTTTTATCTTTATTAGAAGTCATAATTATTCTCTTTTTCACTTTACTAAGAATTATATATAAAAGATATACCTAATAAATAGTTCTATGGATTTTTGATATCCTTTTATCAAAGGCCTATAGGTAGCTACTTAAATTAGGGCTAATCTAATGTCTAACGCACTCCTATAAGCCTTTCAGTGACTCTACTGCTGTTACCGACCTAAGTAGTCTTGCCTGTGCCATTACAGGGAGCCTGTTACACTAGTGTACAAGGCAATGAAAGTTGATCAAACGATGACCCGAAAGAACCCCAAGCTGAATCTCCCATTACCCCTGCATTGTCCCCATCAGTCACACAGTCCAATACACCCACCCCGCTAGACCCCACTATACCACTCATCTTCCCCTTCCTACTCGCCATCATTCTCCATTTCATTGTTTCCACCCTTTATACCTACACTTTACTACCAGCACACCCCTCGCAAACCCACTTTCCTCCAGGCACAATCTCAGCCGTCATCCCCACACATTCATAATGGAACCATTTACCGCTGCACTGCGCCCCATGACACGCAATCATTTCCCGTGTTTCAGGTGTCCCGCAGATACAGTAGGATGGATAGTATGGTGTTTTATGTCCTTCGTGGGGTGTAGATGTCGAGGTAGGAGTCGAAATAGGGGCAGCGGAAGCGGGGCAAGACAGATCTCGACCGTGCTCTGTTAGAAGTGAGGCTTGTGGCTGCGACATCTTGCAAGTTGGGCTTTTCCGTCGTTCCAGGTGTGATTCCTCTGGTTCTTGTCCATGCATCGGGTTGTTTCCATCTCCATGATCTTGTACCATATTTTCTTTTTCCGCATCCAGAAAGCCAGCCTCCTGAAGTAGTTTCTCAGCACTGAGAACAGATAACGCGTCGGTTTCGTTCTGGTCTTCTTCCTCTTTGTCATCACCTTCACCCCTATCACCCCTATTACCCCTATTTTCACCCCCTTCCACCTCCTTTTTCCCCCTCCTCTGCGCCTCCAACTCCACACATACCCCGCATATCCACTCCCCCTCATCCCCAGGATACCCCGCACAAGCCCAATGGAACAACCCCACACTACACGTGTCACGTGCACACCGCACCACGGGCCCGGTGATATACGGCGGGGTGTCGCACACACAGACCACACGCTGTGCTGAGCGCTGCAGCTCAGTCGTGTTTGGCGCGCACTGCGGACACAGCCACGGGGTACCGGATAGCGGGCGCTGGGTCAGGCCCACGCAGCGCAGGTGGAAGAAGCGCGGTTTGCAGTGTGCGGCGCACGAGATGAGGGGTTGCAGGTAGGTTTCGTGGCGGGGCGTGTTGCACAGACATATACTGCTGCTGGTGGGCGATTTTGCCTCGTTTTGGGATGCGTAGAGGTATTTTTCTGGGGCTGTGGAGATTCGGATGTTTTGTTGTTGTTGTAATGGTGGTGGGGTTGTTGGCCCAGGCGACGGTGAAGGCGATGTCGACATTGTTAGATGGTTGCGAGCGGTTGAGCAGTCGCGGTAGAGATGTATCGAGTAAAGAGCGCAACTGTTCAAGGGGACAAGGCAGCTCAAATACCAGCGGTGAAGAGTGAAGGCGCACGATCAGGCGCGAAATGACGTAGATCCTGTTATATTCGACAAGCACGATGAAGTGAATGGCAAAACGATAAGAGTGTGGGGATAACAAAGTGAAAGCAAACTGATCGACAGCAATTGTATTTGTATTTGCAACGTGTACGCTTTCTACAATGATTGATCATACAGCGCCAGTCCAGGCAGGCCATTAGTTAACGAGCAGAAATTCACCAGTTGGTGCTGTTCACTCCCCATGGCCAACGATTTGCCTCCGTCCGTGGACTCCTTCCCAGTCCTCCCATAATCCCTTCCAAACATCCCTCTCACTCCTACCTAAGCCCGCAAACATGGCATCCAGACTCTCTCTATGCAAGCTCGCTGTGCCCACCACTTCCCAGATGCCTGGCATCAGCTTCTCTCGCACGCTCGGATCCAATCTTCCGTTGAGCTGGAAGCGACAGAATGATGCGAGCAGAGGGTATAACAAGTTGCTCGCTTTCTCACGCGCTGCTTTAATCGGGTCGTTGAGGTCTTTGGATTTGCGAGATTGATGATGCTGATGTGCTTTCGTGATAGAAGATTGTGGTGGGTTGCAAAGCGTGGAGAGGACCCGTGTCAATTGGGAGGCGTTGACAGCAGTGAGTCGTACAGGCTCGGTGGCGACCGTAGTTCGCAACCACGAGGGGGGAGCGCCGCTGCGACTGGCATTCGGGATGAACAGGCAGAATAAGAGGCCCTGTAAGAGCGGCAACAAGAGGTGGAAACGTCCACCAAGGCGACCTCGATGTACAAGCAGGATGAGGCGGCTGGTGTGGCAAAGCCTGGAAAAGATTTCCGGCGCATGCTGGGGAGGAAGTGCAGGACCGCTTCGCGAAGTGAGCTTGACAAGGACGCTGAAAGCGCACTCAATGCTGTGCTGTGAAGCAAACGAAGGCTTTTCGTTCAAGATGGTGTCGATGCAATCGAGCAGGGCGTTGAGAGACTCATAGTCAGGACATTCGGCAAGCAAGGCACAGAGCCTCGGCAACAACGCGAGCTGCCTTTGCCTCAGCTCAGTGTTAGACTCGAGCTTGTTGTCCATCGACGCGATGAGGTCGTTGAGGATGCGATAGGAGGCGGCAGTGTTTGGCGGCCTTTGATCAAGAGTCAATGTCGGAATCAAATCCAACTTCTCCTGGAAAGGCTTGAGGCTGAGGACTTCTCTCAGGGTAGCGTACACTGCATCCTGCACCGGCACCGGACTTCCTCTTACGAGCGTAAGCGCCAGTCGTACTAGCCATGTCGCGTCGGAGTAAAGCTCAAACTTTGTGACCAAGTTGAATACACGCGCGACATATTCGACGACCTCAGGCGGAATCCGGACATCAGCATCCACGTACCCGTCGAGCTCCACAGCATCCTTGACCCATGTGCGCAGCCAATTTTGCATACCGTCGAATAGTTTGGCTTCTTTCAGTGCAGGTATCGACAGGTCGCTGAAAGCATCCAAGGATCCTTGTAACGTAGTGATGTCCGGACTGCCCATCAACTTCTTCAACAGATCGACATAACGCTCAATGTGTAGTAGCGTGCTTTGTTTCTGGGCTGATGAAGTTGCTCGAAGGATCGACAACCTCGCTAGCGAGCATTGGTCAGTGGCTTTGGTGATGGAAAGAAGCTTTCCCGTGAACTCAATGAAGAACTCCTTGTTTTGTGCCTGGTTCTGATTCGGCAGGATGTGGTCCAATGTCCTTCGAACAAGCTCCCTCAGCAGCTGCAGCGCTGTATCAGTTTCGGAGTGTTGCTGATGTAGTTGCTCTGCGACATCAAAAATAACGCTAGCATCAGTAGAGACCCTTGCTGACGCATTCGGTACCTGTTGGAGGTGCGCCATGACACTCAACAGCGCGACTGCGTTGGTTCGTCCAGAGTTCAGGAGCTCGGTTGTACGGTCCAGTATCGATCGTCTTTGTTCGCGGGAAAGTGCTGAAGGATGGATGTGAAGAATGGCTTCGGTGGCTGCTGGGTAGATGTTGCCCTCGGCATGCTTTCCAAGAGCTGTCAGAAGAGCTGCACAGTAAGCGCTCTGCGTCGACGAACTTCCGCCTTCAGCGATGGACTCGGAAAGCGATTTGCAGATGAGATCGCTGACCGTCTTTCCAAGACTCGGGAGTCTAGATAAGATACCATATATCGCACTACGGCAAGCATCTTCATCCAGGGGTTCCAGTAGATTGACGAAGAAGGCACATAATACTTCCATCATTTTCCCGTGCTCCTCATGTCCCAGTTGCTTGGGAGAGAGGTTTTCCATGACTTGGCTTAGGCCATTACGGATCACATCTTCCGAGCCAGGGACGGTTTGCATGCGATCGCATGTGTTGAGCCAGAAAAGCATAGCAGCCGCTCGCGCAGACGTATCCACACGTCTTCTTGTTTCTTTGCGTCCTGAAGAAACGTCTTTGATCGCTTGCTTGAGCAATGGATGTAAGAGCTCACGCTGTGTCTTAGAGGATGCGTGCATCTGGATCGGCCACAGCTCGGTGAATAGTTGGCACAATGTGAACCAAGAGAGATGAAGTTGCGTGTAAAGGCTGTAGTTATCATCCTGGACCCAGGTGGCATATGTGAGGAACAATGCGCGAAGGTCTGGCTTAAGCGCCTCGATGGTGTTGTCGGATCGGATCGATTGGAGAAAGGCCGGAAGAAGGACCGCGCTGCTTGCTGCGTTTTTATAAGCTGCGAGCTTCTTGACTTTCACGTCTTCTTTGGAAGCTGTTTCAATGGCCTCCTTTAGATTCGCCAATCGCACTTGATGCTCTTGAATGAGAGTTGTGATCTGGCCTTGCGTCAAGGACTGCTCAAAGGCTTCTGCCAAAGCAGTGTACAGAGCGCGATCCTGCCAGAGGATATCTTGGCCCTCTTTGAGAGCTTTGCGCTTACCGTGCCTGAAGCTCTTGGTCAACTGACCATCCCATCTGCGAATGAAGCCTAGCAAATTGCGACTCCGTACAAACGCAGACATGAGAGGGATGACGACTCTCTGCAGCATTGCGCTTCTGCCCATTTGACTTCCAGTGCTTTCAACATCCATCTGCTTCTCATCTAGAAAACCATTGCCGCTCAACTCCACGGCTGATATCCGTTCAAAGACGAATTCGACGAGTTCAGTTTGATCTTCGGTTGTTCCTTTGTTACCGGACTTGGATCCAATGACAAAAACCGAAGGATCAAGCTCAATCAAAGATGCGATCAGCAACCAATGCACTTCTTTCTCTTGACGCTCCGGGTACTTCACCCCGCAATGGTGCCAGAAGGTTGCTTTGACGAGATCCGGGCTGAGGCTTACTTCGTGTACTTTGAGCACACGCAAAGCAGCACTAAGCGCGGCGACGGCGGTTTGGCGCGTGATGAACTCTGGTGGAGTGGTCAACGAGCATCCCGCGCATTCGGCGAGTGTAGAGAACACAGCCTGCAACCAGGGCTTCTCCATGGCTCTGTTTTTTGGCGTCCGGGACGGGGATACACGAATGGTCAGATCCAGCAAGTGCGGGACTGCATCGAATAGCGATACAAGCTCGATGGGCAGAGCCTCGCCAGCATCCTCAATTTGCGTAGCCTGGAGAAGCTTCGCGCGTAGAGGCTCTAGGCTACTAGCCAAGCCTGTTGCGTCTCGCGACTTTGTGGCGTCGCTGGAAGGTCCGCCGACACTGATTTCGCCGAAGAAAGCTGCCCTGGAGGGCGCAAGCAGATGTCTCGTCAGCAATTTATACAGCGCCGCGATCGCACGGCTAACCGCATGAGGTGCCTTTGAGGAAGCTTCATTTCGTAAGCTTTTGAGGTGTGCGAGGAGTACCAGTGCAGGAATAAGGCACTCCGTATTAAACTCCTCGGCGGAAGCTCCGCTCTCGTCGTTGGTGTCGACAGTTCGCAGCTCCCACATTCCATAGGCAAGGGAGAGGTCGATGTGGTCAGCCCAGTCGCCGTCCAGCTTACCGTTCTTCGAAGCGGTGCTCAGGATGCGGTAAACACCGGTGAGCCAAAATCTGAGGATGCGCGAAGCTTGCGCGCTGTCCGTCCTCAAAACCATCTTCATGAGCTCAGCCTGGGTAGTGTCATCGCCCTTGTTCCCTGCAGCCAGATTCGATATGGATGCTACGCCCGATTTCACGACGCGGAAAAGATTGCTGAGATTGATCGGATCGGGTGGTGCCGGCTTCGCAGGTGGGCTGGCGGTGCCGCGTTTTCGTTTCCTCGAAGGTTTAGTCTCTTCCCGGACGGTCGCGCTCGACTCGGAGTCATCTTTCATATGCACATCGCCAGTAGCGGGTGGCGGTTGCGGTGTGGGCTCCCTGTCAAAGTTCTCAACAAGCGTCCTCTCCAGGATGCTCGGAAAACTCGCGTCGCGCAGGTGAGGCGCGCTTCTCGAAACAGGCAGGACCTGTATCATCCATTCCAAGAGCTGCCATGCGCCCACATTGGCACGCGTTGTGCGCCCCGTCTCCGCGTCGTCTTTCAATTTGTCGAGGATCCAGCGCAAAACCCATTCTGCTCTCGCGTGCACGAGTCGCCGTGTGATTTCAGCCCTCGTATCCTGCTCCCTAGTGCCGCTCCAGATGTCAGGAAGCCCTATGATATGCGCAACTTGGCGAATCTGTTCGTCGAGGTCGGAAAAGTCTTGGTTGACGGCTTGCAACCGCGGGCGTGTCGACGCACGATCGTTCTTCGAGGCCTTGTTCCTTGTTAGCTCCATGTTCTGCATTCCCCCAGGGCTCTAATTACTGGCTGAGCGGGCACCATCCCGTCACCTCGTCACCCGTTTCCGTTGCGAAAGCTGGAGGGAGAAGCGTCGCAGAGCAAGCTGCTGGTATCTCGAAAAAAGTTGGGCACGGGCCACGCCACCCTGGTCGTTCCTGCCAAGGGCCGGCGACGTCAAAGTTCCGCTGCCAGCTCCCGCGAAAGAGACCATCAACACCACGTCGAGCCGCTCCCGATCACTCTCAGCACACCGAGTGCGCCGTTGCATCCATCAATTGCACTCGAAATTACCGCTGCCATGGCCGAAAACAACCCCCAGCCCGTTGCGTCCATCTCGCGTACCACACGTCCTATGAGCGAGGCGCTGCTCAACGAAAAGGTACTACTCCCGAAACAGCCTCGTGATGAGCCATTGGCGAAGATCCGACTCGATACGGAGACTTTTGGACACGGGCGAAGACGCTGTCGTGTGTGGTGGCGGGGCATCATGCCCTCACGCGACTCCGATGCCCGCTCCATCCGATACAACACGCAGATAAGCGACACAGGGTCGATTTTGGACAAGGTCGCTAACACACGATGACAGTGGGACCGCTGCCTCTCTTCGATGCTCATCCGTTCCGGCCTCGGCGTCTCATTCGGTGTCGTCTTCTCTGTCCTCCTCTTCAAGCGACGCGCATGGCCCGCATTCGTCGGTCTCGGTTTCGGCGCTGGAAGGGCATGGGAAGAGTGCGACAACGTCAGTTTTCCTCCACTATACATGTAAATTGAGCAAGAGGTGTCCTAACAGCGGCAATAGTCCTTCAAGCGAGCTTCAGCACCTTCGAAAGACGGCCTCCGTATCATCCGACCATAGACGATACATTGCATGCGAACGGGGATGTGGAACGACGCCATTCGGCGGATCGGGAGCTTTGCATGCCAGGTATGCATTGTACAATAGGGCATGGTATAGAACATCTGGGCAATTCAAAGCTGTTCATCGCACCATTCACTGTCACGCATTCCATTCCTATTTATCATTCTATTCTATATTCCAAACCCATCCTCTGGCAGCCGTCATTACCTCTCCAACGCCACACCATGTCTGAAATACTCATCGCTAGTAGTCCTCAAACTTGTAGCCCTTTACCTCATCAAGCACTGTAAACCAGTGTGTACTAAACGTAATGTTCTCATACAACTCCCTTCCAGCCGCCCTCGCCTTCTTATGCCACGGCCCTAGCCCACCTCTATACGCATCTTCCCTGCTATGCCAGAAACCTATTCCGCAAAGTCAGCTTGGTCGTTTTCTTCAGCAACCACAACCTGTTACTCAATCATCATTCACACATACAGGTAGCCAGATTTCTCCTTTCAGCATCGCTCTTTCCAAACCAATACTTTAGCAAACCGCCCGACGCACAAGCCTCTGCATGGCTCTCCTCGTCCAGCTTGTATAAATAGTCGTTGTCGATGCGCTCTTTGAGTCTGCTCCGAAAAACAACGACATAGAATTTCGCCTCCTGCCATTGCACGCCTTCGCTTCTAGCAAGCGCTCGCAACACGTCTAGCACGGCGTCGAGGTTCAGTGCTGCTGTGTACGGCGCCGTGGCGTACGTAGGCACCACGGGTTGTAGCGCTGTGAGTGCCAGGGCCAAGAGCACCGATTGCAGCGGGAGAGAGGGAGACGTCAGATCTAGATAGTGATTTGGCTTGTTGTATGGCGAAGAAATGAGTAGGTCCGAGCGACTCCTCCCTTCATCTGCTACCTCAGAACGAGAGTCTGGCGTCGTAGGTGAAAGAGCCGGATTGGCGCTACACGTCGAAATGTCGCGGCAGACAAGTTGGCCATGTGCTGCGGCTTCGAAACGATGTGCGTCAAAATCTCCCGTTATGCGATCTGGGTGTAGAAGATAGGCGCTGCGCAATGCGCGCGAGTTGCTGCTGACAAGCGGTGTAGGTGCAAGCGCCGCAACCTTGACAGCAGGCTCTTTCATATCTAGTGCTTTTGCAGGAAGAGCTATCGTGGGCCCTAGACGCTCCATTTCTGCCTTCAAATTTTCTTTGCAATATGTTAGCGGTTTCTTTTTCCTGCATGTACTTTGTGGTACCGAGGTGATGTAATGGAAACAGCAACATACTTGGTGGGCTCTGCCTCTATACTTCTCTTTCTTGCCGATTTGGTCCGTATCCGCCGGTATATTGTATTGGAAAGCCGGGAAAGATAGTCTGCAAAGTCTGGAAGATGTACGGAAGTCGATTTCAATTGTTGAAGGAAGGCACGAGGTTCGGTCATTTTTCGCTACAAGCACGTTGAATCACGCAATCTTGGTAAACGCCATTTTAGCCCTTCCGCGCCTTGCGAACCCAGACATCTAGAAATAACCCGAGGATCCGCGAGACTCGAGTGAAACGGGGGGGGGATTGGCCTGTCATACTGGAGACTCCGTATAGTCCTCTTAGTCGGTTCAGTTACTAATACGAGCTAGTACGCGTCTTCTTTGCCAGTAAAGTCAAGCGGCGAAGTCCCTGCAGCTAAGTATGCAGGTCACCTAGTCAGTGACTCTGCAAATGTGATCCAAGGGTACTATGCGGCGCCTCAACAATGCCCTCGTCCGGTCTGCTCGTGCAAGCCAGTGGCTGTTGACCATGTTGCAGTTCCTAGACCAATGAAAAGTCGACGCGAATGCAAGGGTACGGGCCGGAAGCGATGCATCCAGTGGCGTTACAACAGTGTCGCTTCCTGACTATTAGCTAGCGCAATGTAAAACAATACATCAGTCCATATTAATGGTCGTCAGCGCGAGTTTGTGCATGCGCTGATATCCAAACGGATGCTCAGGCGTGACGGGTACCTCGCAGCCGTACTCTTCTATGCATGTGTCAAACGGCTTGTTCTGCAAACGATTGTCGCCGCGCGGCAACGGAAGATCGGATCCTTTTGCTCTCAGCTCCGTTTTGAGCTCCATCATGTTGCCCCAGAGGATAAAGAGCTTTCTCTCGAGTTGTTTGAGTGCTTTGGGATGTTTCTTGAGGCTGTGAGCTTGTCAGCCATGCTGTCGTTAGCAGTGAGCTAATGTGTCTTACTCTTGAGCATTCATTCTCAGCAGATATTGTGCTGAGCTGTTATTTACAACGACGCGCAGCTTCTCCGAGGTGCCGTCCCGAGGTGCTTGCGCGTCTTCGAGCAGGAGCACAAACCCCCATTCCCAGCGCTCTTTTGAGCCCGTGCTGTTGGTCGCGTTGCTTCTCGGGTGCTTCGTCCAGTTTGGATCGTTCAAGGAGTGCGCAAACTGGTCCAGTTCGGGAGGAAACACGTCGACCACGCGAACACGAGAGCGGTACCGGCAATTCACAAAAGGAACCCTGTATTCGTTATATTTCTCCGGGGTGCGCATGCGAAGATGCGTGTTTTGTATGATTTCAGAGACTGTAGAAGTTTTCATGTCGACATGAGCGCTTCGAACTTTGCAGAGTTAGTACGGGTGGGAGGGCAATGGTGCCTGCATATCTTACCATTGGGATTGACACCGGTGCGGGACAACTCCCACTCCTGGGCCTGCTTTGCAAGCTCCTCTAGTTCGGCTTCCTTTTCTGCCCGCAGCCGTTCTCTTTTGGCCGCTCTCTTGCTGTGTGATGCTTTGGCGGAGAGCTTCTTGGGTTCGCTCCGTAACTTCTCAAACGCCGTCTTACTTCCACGTTTCCTTTCATATTCTTCTCGGCGTTTGTCGATTTCCGCAATGTCAGGCGCGCTCTGCAAACGGCGTATGTCAACTTGGGATGTATGCACTCTGTCTTGGTGTACCACGCCCTCAAGCTTGTTTCTGGCGGAGAGTTTGGGTCTCATATTTCGGATGTACACATAGTCGCCAGGTAAGATGTTTTCTTGCGCCCAGTTTGCATTCTCTTCGTACAGGGTCACGCTGAGAGTCAAGTATCCATACGGCCCTTTCCAGCTTCTATCTGCAACAAGTCCGTCTTCCGTCTCCGGATCCGCGTAATAGAACATGTGCTCATTCTCAGTGTAGTCGGTAACCTTCAGGTCGACCTGGCCGCCCATTGGGTAGCGGTAGACATTGACAACATACGCCCGGATATCGGCAAAGACGTCGAAACGCAGGTCCTTGATCAGGGTGTCTCTTCGTGCAGTCCTGGACTTGGATACAGCCGTTGCAGCATGCTGCTGCACCTGTTGTTTGGAACCCGAAGACGCATGCTTCAGGCTTATGACAGCCATTTGCTCAGGAATCGTGGGCGACGGAGCCATCGGAGTGGAGTCACAGGGAAGCTTCTGGCTGCCGGCTTGGAAAGCGTGGCTGAGATCGGGAACAGGAATCATGCTGCTGGGGAAGACAGTCATGGTTGAGTCGTATTTGGCACCGAGACATTCCATGCGTCCCATCCACTCGCTCAGCTTGACCCTGCGGACAATCACGACATCACCGGGCCCCGATATCTTGGGAAACTTGTTGGGTGGCTTGAACATGCGCCCGCTGATGCTCGACTGGCCACCGACCGAGCCGGATGAGAAGTCGTCTTGTATGGTAAAGTCAAGAGCATGGTCGGATCCCTTGGACGACCGGGGCCCGTTGTAGCTGACCAGGACGCCGATGAGATTGACCGCGTCGCCCACGCTGGTTGCGTCCTTGATGGCGGTAAAGCCAGTGGGCAGCTGCATGGTTGCTGCGTGGGCCGAAAGCGGCTAGCGCGTAGTTAGGCCGTCAGCGAACGACGAACGAGCAGGCACATGCAAACCAGGTCGGCGGCGATTGTGCGAGAGACAGGCAGATTTCCTGGGCCGGCGGGTGTGGATGGTGTGTGTGTGTGTGTGTGTGTGTTGCATGGACGCATTCTCGTGCAGGCGGCGGGCGGCTGCTGGGTGGCTGCGTGGATGGAGCTGCCGGGTGAGAGGCATGGGAGGACGCGTCGTGGTGGTTGCTTGGGCGTAGGGCTCGGGCGAGCCAAGACCAGCTGCTGCTAGCGCCAGGACCGCTTCGCCGCTTCCGCTTTCAAAATCACCCCTCTAGTTGGAAAGTTTACCACTCCCCTTCCCAAACAAACCCCCCGACGCACCCAGCACTTGTCCGACTCAACACCCTGCCCGTCACATCGAGTCGTCGCAGAAAATGGCCGACAAGTACATCCCCGAGCACCGCCGCACGACGTTCAAGGCCAAGAGCGCGTTCAAGCCAGACGAACTCCGCCGCCGCCGTGAAGAGCAACAGGTGGAGATCCGCCGGGCGAAGCGCGAGGAGAACCTTGCCAAACGCCGTGGTATTGCAGGACGAGACCAGCCCGGAGCCGCGCTGGGCGCTGCCCCCGACAGCGACGATGAGGGTGGCAACATCGAGAGCCAGGTCCGTATACCCCACCATGCCCTGCTTTGCCCCCCTCGTGGCCTGCAGCAGGCTCGCCCGTGAGGGACGTGGAGGCTGACGCGGTGCCGCAGCTCAACGAAGAGCTCCCCCAGATGGTCAAGGGCGTCTTCTCGGACCAGATCGACGAGCAAATCCAGGCCACGACCAAGTTCCGCAAGCTGCTGTCCAAGGAGCGCAACCCGCCCATTGAGCGCGTCATCGAGACGGGCGTCGTGAGCCGCTTTGTCGAGTTCCTGCGCTCGCCCCATACACTGGTACAATTCGAGGCGGCCTGGGCCCTCACCAACATCGCCTCGGGCTCGGCGCAGCAGACACAGGTCGTCATCGAGGCGGGCGCGGTGCCCATCTTTGTCGAGCTGCTCAGCAGCCACGAGCCCGACGTGCGCGAGCAGGCCGTGTGGGCTCTGGGCAACATCGCCGGAGATAGCCCCGCATGCCGCGACTTTGTGCTGCAAGCCGGCGCTCTCCGCCCGCTGCTGGCCCTGCTGGGCGACAGCCGCAAGCTGAGCATGCTGCGCAATGCCACATGGACCCTGAGCAATTTCTGCCGTGGCAAGACGCCGCAGCCCGACTGGCAAACTGTGAGTTCTGTCTCCGGCCCCACATGCCTGCGGCTCGCCCTAACGCTGTGACAGATCCAGCCCGCCCTCCCCGTCCTGGCCAAGCTCGTCTACTCGCTCGACGACGAGGTGCTCATTGACGCCTGCTGGGCCATTTCATATCTGTCGGATGGCTCCAATGATAAGATCCAGGCCGTCATCGAGGCCGGCATCCCCCGCCGCCTGGTCGAGCTGCTCATGCACGCCTCGACCTCGGTCCAGACGCCTGCCCTGCGCTCTGTCGGCAACATTGTTACTGGTGACGATGTGCAGACGCAGGTCATTATCAACTGCGGTGCGCTCCCCGCGCTGCTGTCGCTGCTGAGCTCCACCAAGGACGGCATCCGCAAGGAGGCCTGCTGGACCATCTCCAACATCACCGCCGGCAACTCTACCCAGATCCAGGCCGTCATTGAGGCCAACATCATCCCTCCTCTGATCCACCTGCTCCAGAACGGTGACTTCAAGACGCGAAAGGAGGCTTGCTGGGCCATCTCCAACGCCACCAGCGGCGGTCTGCAGAAGCCGGCTCAGATCCGCTACCTCGTCCAGAGCGGCTGCATCAAGCCGCTGTGCGATTTGCTCGCGTGCCCCGACAACAAGATCATCCAGGTTGCTCTCGACGGCCTAGAGAACATTCTCAAGGTCGGAGAGATGGACAAGGAGGCCAGCGAAGGCGGTGCTGGTGGCGAGCCCATCAACCGCTATGCTCTCTTCATCGAAGAAGTTGGCGGCATGGAGAAGATTCACGAGTGCCAGAACAACGCCAACGAGGAAATCTACATGAAGGCATACAACATCATCGAGAAGTATTTCTCGGACGAGGAGGGCGAGGCCGAGAACATGGGCGAGGCCGGACCTCAGGTCAACCAGGAGGGTCACTTTGGTTTCGGCGCGGCTGGCCAGCAGCAACAACAAAACTTCAACTTTGCCAACGGCGGGGACTCTATGGACATGTAAAGCGCGTCTCGCGTCTCGCGACTCGTCGCGATATTGTTGAAACGCTGCATCGCCTGCTGTGCAGCGCTTCGTCCGTCACCCTGGGCAGCCACGAAAGCGCGCCTGGAGGTGGTAGCAGTGCCCTGGGCGAATTCAGAGATCATACAATGATATGATGCATGACATGCATGCATGGAAGAGCCATGATTGCGAGGACTACTGTATGTTTCCTTGGCAATGTTTCCACGTTTTCCCAACCTTCACCTCGCCATGATTTCTATGAAGCCTCAAAAGATACACCGTCTTGTAACCCTCCCAATTTTCCCATCCGCATCATATCCCTGGCGTTGTGTGTTTGCGTAGCTCTATCGGTCTGAAGCTCGGAATGGTTTGGACTGGGCGGTCTGCTCTGGAATGGGTGGGCGCTCTACACGATTTGGGTGCGAGGGCGAAAGATCTTCTCAGTTCAGCCGCGCCGGCCAGATAGCTGAATTTATTCCGCCGCTGCATTTGGTTTGCCCATGCGTGTGGAAGTGTTGTGTGATGACTGATTGACTGATTGAGCACATGTGCGTCATTGGGGCGAGGCCGGCCGTGAGCACCCCGCCGGCGACATGCGCGCCCCCCCAGCGCGCGTCTCCCCTAGGCCGGGAGCCTCTTTTCCTAGTCTGCATTGCTCGGTGATCGCCTTGTCGCATGTCCTGGGGTTGCACGCTAGAGTCTTGTCATCAGGCTCTCTTGCGCATCTTCCTGCCAACACGACGCGACCCCGAATCATGTCTTGTCCAATGTCCAGCGCCGATGGCGCAATCATCGCGAACACACCGCCCTGATCTCACAGCCAACGCACCACTGTTCAACAAACGGCTGCTGCTGGAATATCATAGCTGATTCACTCAATTTATACCCCAGGCTCCAACATATCCAGGCTGCTTCACTCGCACAGTCGCCCAGCATGTGTAGATTCATGGCAAGCCTCACCCAACATGTCCCAGCAAGCCTCCCACTAACGCGCACAGGTCTACAAAGGCAAAGACGAGATACTTCTCTCTGAGCTTATTCTTAATCCAACCCACTCCATTCTCACACAGTCGTTTGATTCGCGCCTACGTCTCGTACGTCCTCTTCGCATTGCGCCGGGTGACGCCCATGGCCAGCTAACACCACCCTAGGACCGACGCCGTCCACACAATGGCGACGGGTTCGGTATAGGCTACTACACCTCGCCCTCGCTAGGTCCTACTCCATGTGTATTCACCTCTACGATCCCCGCATGGAACTGCATCAACCTCTCCCGCATCGCCTCCAAAACCACTTCGTCGCTCATCTTCGCCCATGTGCGCGCCACCACCGAGGGCAACCTCAGCGACAGCAACTGCCACCCTTTCAGCTACAAGAGCATCATGTTCATGCACAACGGCGGAATCGGAGCGTGGAGACATATCAAGCGACGGCTGGCCATGAGTCTCGACGAGAAGTGGTTCAACGTGGTGGGGGGATCGACAGACAGCGAATGGGCATTTGCTACGTTTCTCGACTCCCTGGACAGAGCGGGTATTTCGCCTGACAAGGATGTTGAGCCCGGCATTGGCTTCGGGCACACTGTGCTCCGCAAAGCGCTCCTCAAAACCATCGAGCGCATCAACGGGTTCATCAAGGCTGTTGTCGGCGAGCAAGGCGTTGGCGAAGAAGATAGCAGGAGTCTACTCAACTTTGCCGTTACCGACGGCGTCAGCGTAGTCTGTTCCCGATACGTCAGTTCCCGGACAGATGAGGCAGCGAGCTTGTTCTTCAGCAGCGGGACAAGCTGGAAAGAACTCCAGAGCTCAGACCAAGCGTCGCGCAGTAGTGACGATGAAGAGAGAGAGCGAGACTACGTCATGGAGAGGAGGGACAAGGGTTCCGACATTGTGCTTGTAGCCAGCGAGCCCTTGACATTTGAACGCGGTATGTATCCTTCTCTCTCTATGCGCTCATGTTCTTCACAACCTCCCTATTCTCTCTATGCCCTCATATCAAACTAACAATACTGGCATTGCAGATAACTGGGTCACAGTCCCTACCAATAGCACCCTCACTATTTCCAAACAAACAGTCATGATCCACCCCATCATCGACGAGTTTTACTCCCCAAACCCGGCGCATGAACGCAGTGCCAACTTTGCAAAGGCAAAGGGGCAGACGGTCACGGGGAGCGACAAGAGAGTCTTGAGTGATTTGCCTGACAGCGAGTAGACTTGGTGTTGATTGGGTCGTGTCGTGAGTAGATGGCTGGAAAGAGAATAGCATGTAAGAGGACGGTAGTGCTCGTTTTGATCCATCTAGCTTGGTGTTGCTTCTTTGTGGAGTTGTGCGTGTGAGAGATTTGGACCGGGTCTATGTCTGTATGGAACCAAAGATTGGAAGAAAGCAGCCTTCTTTCCTTTCCCTTCTTTCGTGTTTTCACCGCTTGATATGGCTACGTGGATAACGAAACATATGTATGCCACATAGCGACGAGAGGTATGTCGTACATGCAGTGCAGTGCGCGTTCAAGGCAAACTTTTTCTCAATCAATAAGTACTCATCTAAATCTCTTCTTTTCCCTCTCTCTCTACAGCAAAGGACTCTTTCCGACATTATTCGTCACGCCTGGTACATGCGACCGAACCACACGCACGAGTAAGAGCATATATGTAGATAAATATGAATTATCTATTCGACGTCCTGATATCGTATTCGTCACATCGTGTCTTTCACAGCGTACGCCGAGCGTAAAGACCTTGTTCAAGAACCGCTAAGCCAGCATACAGCGGCATCCAAGTATCTACTTGGCGACTTGCCTCTATCTCTCTCATGACCAACCGGTAGTCTGGCGTACGCCCTTCTTTGAAGGCGCGACTTCTTGTTCTTCGGTTCCTGGAACATGCAATGTTAGTATCTGCCTTGAAGCATAGTATGAAGAGAGAGAGAGAGAAACGCTGGAAAGGAATGGGGTGTTCGTACTCAGGCGGTGGACGACGGGAACCGAGCTTGGCGGTAAGCTCCCGTACTCATTAATGACCATGTTGATGTAGTGTGCGGGGGTAACGTCGTAGAGGACCTGGAGGTGATGCAGGTTCTTTGCTTCTTCGATCCATTTCAGGACATCCGCTGTATCTGCGGGTGCGTCTTCTGCTGTAGCGGACTTGTCGTCGGTCTTGGACGCGGGCAGTCGAGACTTCAAGGGGAGCAGCTCGCGACGCTCAGCTTCCGAAAGCATTTCCTCAGCCGGCGCGACTTCGTTGCCAACGATGGAGTCGAGCGCGACTCTCTCGGTGAACTTGACGGATTGGCAGAGCACGATGACGGGGATGGAATGCGAATGCGCGAGCATGGAGATGAGCGCTGTGCCAACGCGCGAGTAGAGACGCCCGTTGGACATCATGGCGTGCGCGCCCAGGAACACCTTTGTGGCATCTCGTACCGCGTGAGAAGCCCCCGTGACGAGGTAGTACCGCACTGTGATGCCGCGGTTCGCGAGCTTCCGCGCCAATTGCTTGCCTTCGAAGAGCGGCTTCGAGTCCACTACAATGACCGTGAACGGGATGCCGGAATCGTGCGCATGCACTATAGTCTGCTCCACGATCGAAGAAGCTGCGTACACCATGATTACGTCCCCAGCTTGGATCTTGGTGGCGGCCAAGTCGCGGATCAGTCGGTCTGCGGCTGTGACGCGCTCACGGATGAAGATGTCAATCTCCTCAATCAAGTCGCGCTTAGCTTCGTTCTCAGGGGTTGAGGGATCAATCTTGATAATGACTGTAGATGTATCAGCATGCAAACCAAATGGTTTGAGTGGTAGGTTGGCATGTGCTACTTACCATCCTTCAGCCACCTAATGGCATTTCCCATACTGACACTCAGCGGTCTGCAGCTCTTTAGGAATTCAATCTGCGGACCCAGGTGATGGCTGGTTAGATGCCGGGCCAAACTGTTTCCTGGGGGCGTTTGGTAGGCCTCGATGACGGTCTTGAACACCAGAAGCATGGCCACCATGCGTGCTATACTGCCACAAATGGCATAGCTGCTGTACTGCAGGCCCAGCGCGAGAACGGCGGGATGTACGTCCTTTGAGGCGCCAACAAGCGATTGCTGCTTGGGCTGGCTGTAGAGGTGACCAAAGAAGAGGCCAGTTTGTTTTGATCCAGCGTCTTTTTTGGACTTCTTTTCCGGCTCTTTTGCTAATGACGCATGCGCCTGCGCTGGTTTCTGCCGTGTTGGGAACGGTCTTGACTTTTCGTCTTTTGATGTTTGCTTCGAGTCTTTTTGCTGCTTTTGGCTGTCCTTTGAAGGCCCTTGCTGCTGGTTTGGTGCCCCTCCAGTAGCCTTTGCCTGGGCTCTCTTGGCCTGCTTCTCCGCCTGCTTTAGCTTTTTCAGTTCTGCTGGTGAGAGTTTCTTGGGCGCGTCCGATGTACCCTCGCCAGGCGCTGGTACTGACGCAGCTGGCGCTGGTGAGTCAGCAGCTGGCGCCGGCGCTGGCTGAGCAACTGGTGCTTCAGACATGATGCTCAGTTTCGCGATGTGTTGCTCGTTTTCACGTCTGGAATATGGCCAGCTTAGTGGAAGCCTGCCCAATGAGGTAGGCGCTATTGGCCTTGGATCCTGGCTGCTGAATACTATCAGACTTGGTGGATAGCTGTGGCCCGAAATAGTTAGGCGGAAGTCGTAGTCTGCGTGGTGTGGTGAACCTTGCGGGCGGGACACACGGAAATTTGATAGAGTCGTGAATTGAGTCAGAAGTTTGGTGGCCGCTTCGGGATTAGCGCCACAACGGAAAGGTCCCGCACTAGCGATCCCCCGCGGGCCCTTGTTGCGTCATTGGACTTCACCCCTTCCACCCTGTACACGCTTGTTTCTATGCATCCTTTGAGATAACCCTTTCTTTCGGTCCGTCATCTCTCAGCAAGGCGTATCCACTAAAGAAGAGTCCCAGGTCACCAAAATACCTCTCTGCCACGACCGAGATAATCGTCTCAGGCCTTTGTCGCCCCACCATCACCACAATGGCCGAACAGGTCACTTCGATTACCGACCTTCCCCTCGATATCCTTGTACTTGTATTTCCATACCTAGATGCGAAAAGCTTCCTTGCCCTATGCAGTACCTGCAGGGCGTTTCAAGACGCTTCGATACGACTCGACCCCGCCTATTGGAGCTATACCACTCGCACAACGTTCCGCGTACCCAACCAGCCAGTCGTTCAGCACGATGGTGTAAGATGGCAGAAGATGTACTGCCGGCTGCTCACTCAGAGCCGTGTCTTTACATGGGGACATAACGGGCAAAACCGCCTAGGACATGCTTTCGATGCCGCTGTCGATTTGTTCCCTCACCGACCGCGTATGAGGGGAGGTCTCATGCGACCAGGCCGCTTTGGTCCATACAGCACCAACGAAGCACATCCAACGGAGATGCATAACACACGGGATCTGGGTGTCATTGCGGACATGCAGTGCGGGTAGGTTTTGTGGCACCATTCGGCCTGGTCGACGCAAATAGCTAATACGTGCGTGCAGAGGCTGGTCGACGACTCTTCTCACCTCCAAGGGCACTCTACACACCGCTGGAGTCCTTGACGGCCAAAGAGTATACGCCAGCGGGTTTCTTCAAGCGCTCCGCTTTCCAGAAGGGTATCCCTCTAACGCTGCCCAAGCCCAATACGTAGAGCCAGCTGTTGCCATACGGCAATTTTCCTCTGGCCGAGCGCATATACTAGCAGTTTCAGACAGCGGTAGGCTATGGTCATGGTTCGATGCATCAAAGCCTGCTTTGCAGGTTAGATTCGCAACCTTGGAGATCAAAGAGCTCTCCTTGGGTGCTACATTGAGTACAGATTCAACGTTTGGAGAAATTAAGCAAGTCGTAGCAGGGTGGAGTCGCAGCTCGGCTCTCGTGAGCGGTGTTGGCATAGTCGTATGGGATCCAGTTGAGAGAGACCACGGCGATGAAGGGACTGATACTATGCTCGTCTTGGAGCATGCAGAAATCCCAAAGACCGGCTATCAGCGTGTCAAGGGCGTCCAAGACACAGATGAGCAGAGAGAATTGAGTGAAGAGGTGGGTGTCGTGATGAATTACATCATGTTGGAGCACTTTGTCGTCTTTACCACGGATATTGGCAGGGTTTTCTGTGGAAGATTTGGGGAAAAGAACGCGGTCGATGAAATTGTTGAGCTTCGTCAACTGCGACATGAGAAAGGAATGCCCATCGATGTCCAGGGCTCTTTCCGCAGCTTTGCTGTTTTCAGGGACGGCGAGGTCATCACCAGCGACCAGAACTACCTTGAGTCATGCATGCAGCATCGACAGACCAATCCAGAACAAGCCGGACTGCCGGGCCTCAAGAAAATACCTGCCCTTCAGCACAACGATGTCATCTCGGTCGCCTTTGGTGACTACCATTATCTCGCACTTCACGCGAACGGAAAGATTACCTCGTACGGCACAGAGAATACAGCGTGTGGCTCACTGGGTCTGGGCATGAACCATGACAACATCGTCGGAAGGGCCCGCGGTATTGTTTACGACAGATTCAATTCCAATGGCCAACTGCTGCCTCATGCATACACTTCTGGGCGTCAGGTTTGGTTCGATGGGAGAAAAAACGAATGGCTCGCGCAGACTGCACATGACCAGGCCCACGCCCAAGAGAGCGAGGAGCGTAGACAAATGTGGGCCAATGACCCTAACGTGCAAGGGGAGGTCAGCGAGTGGTTCGAACAAGAAGCTAGAGCCTGGGACCAAGACGGTGGGGAAGACGGTCTCGGCGCGCACTTTGCTTTGCGAGTGAGCGCTGCAGGCTGGCATTCCGGGGCTTTGGTTTTAGTCAATGAAGAGCTGGCCCAGAAAGAGCCGACCTACAACCGCGAAGCAAGGCCCTTCCCAAGACTCAAACTCTCCGACGGCAGAGAGATGCCGGGAGAAAAGGATTTTGATGAATGGAGGGAGGGCCGACCAGTATTCCAGCTCGATGCTTAGATGTAGTCGTGTATCTTGGAATGACTGGTAGCATACTAAAGCCTATTGTCAAGTGTATGAAGGTGTTCCTAGAAGGCTCCCACATGTCCCCTGCTAGTATCCCTGCATCTGGGTTGGGTATCTTTCCAAGGCTATTCGAAAGCCAAGTCAGGCAATGATCACCGCCTGAATGTAAGCACTGGCGGGTATTCGTTTTTGCATGTCACAAGCTCCACATGCATGCTCACCGGACCAGGGCCGGCATAGGCGTGCCCTCATATGCCGATGGCCTAGGCGATATGAGGCTGGCGTTGTAGGGCGATGTGTAGGAGCTAATCCCGTGTAGGTGTATGCACGGAAGACGTGGCAGTGATACCAGGCGCAGAAGCTCAGCGAGGCTGGTTCACTGGCATGGGTGGGCAGACGAAGCCGGATCGACCCGGATATCTATCACAAGAACAAACTTGGTAGCTTCGTCGTCTACATTCGAGTAAGCAGTCTTTTTGAGGGCGCTGCAATCTCTACATGCAAGGAAACACCACAGTGATCCTCGTGGGAGTCCATCTGAACATCGACACATCGACACTAAAAGACTGGCTTGGAATGAGTTGACGACCTGCTGGCGGCATTGAATCATCATGCCAACATGAAGAGAGTGCAGCAGTACTCGGAAACCGAAAGAAATATAGTCATAGCTCTACACAATGCCATGTTCGGCTAATTTAGGCATTCAGAGCCTGAAATAATACGAGTGATGACATATATCATGCAGATCTACTAACAGCATCCTTCTGCATCTCTTACCTGCATGACTAAACGAACGGATCGTCCTGGTCTTGTTGATGCACTTATATAAGCAACCCAATTACCAAAATAGGGTCTAGAAACGAGTTGCGTCAATGTGGGCCTGGGGAGTGAGGGGGCCTGGCCGCAGGCGTTGCTGATCCGCCCCCCTCGTTCTCCCACGATGCATCGTGATCGCATGACGCTGAGTCAAAACTAAGTATTACCCCGGGGGAGTGGAGATGAGGGAAATGGGTACGGCGCTATAACCAGGTATATGATAAGTATTCGCTTGGGCAACTCTGTGTTAAAATTTCCAATGCGGACTTCTCCGGATGGACATGGACATGTAGGTGTACTTAGTGGAGTTTGTAGTTGGGTTTGGGCTGGATATGTTTGTTTGGAGGCGCACACCAAAGAAACTTAGCTTCTCCTTTAGAGGCCCGCAAGAGTGTGTGTGCAAGGATCACGCATGTTCTTGTCACGGCATCTTAACCGCTCTAGCGTTGTCCCTGGGGGCTCGGCAGAGAAACTCTGATGCCGAACCCATGGGGGGTTTTTTTTTGCTTTCCATGTAGCCGTGGAACAGATGGCCGATGGCGCTTTCTCTCTGCTGCCATGGTAGAAGATGCCAGGGGCTAGGCGACCATGGGTATGCGGCGGCGCTCATGAGACTAGCAGGTCTTGAGAACTAGCCAGCCCCCCCTACGAAAAGGGTCGTTCATATTGGGCTCACCCGCAAAATGAAGTCGGGGATCAAAGCGTATTCTTAGAACTCTACTTGCCGCCGTCTACTGCGATACCCGAACCGCGCCCTGGGGGGGGGGAGTGGAAATGGCATTTTCGAAACAGCGAGTCGCCATGGACGTGTGCTATGGGATTGTCATGTGTCATTGACATTTTTTTTCGTTTTACTAGTTAGATGCGCCCGATGCGGAGCCTTGCTGTTTGGTGGTTTGCATTGGAACGTCGAACGGCGATGGGCCCAATGCGGAAATACTAGTGCAAGGGGCAAATCACGTGCAGTGTGGCGCCGGGATCGCCGTGGGCACAGCAAAACACATGTGCATGCAAGCTGGAGATGGAGGTCAAGTAGCAAGAAGTGGAGGCTTACTGGATGCTTCGGCAGCATGTTCGGAATGCATGCCAGGATAGGTGTACATAGTTACGCGTCTTTGTCGGTGTGCAGGTGTAGTAGAGGCGTGGCTGTGCAAGTTGCGAGCCAATTGGGGTTGGGTGCCTAGTATGGCATCTGAAAGGACATGTGTGCTGCTTGATGACGGCATGGCCGAGCTGGAGGGCAATTCGTTGCGAGGCGGGTTCTAGATCTCTGCATAGTTTTATACAGGCGTGTTTGCGATCTCGATGGGGGGGAGGGGAGTGAATGCTACGCTCGGATTGGAATATGGCTGCAGAGCTTTCAAGCGTTGCAGGGCCAGCACTACAGAAGTCCGGTAGGTGGCTTCAAAAGCAAACAACAACAAGCACATGATGCAGAGGAGAGAGAGAGAGAGAGTCCGCGGGATGCTCAGGGCAAATGAAAGCGTGCCATGGGCACAAGAGCCGTCGGCACACAGGCTGTTTGGAACAGGCTGGTCCCTGGTTTCCAGCTAGCCTTCAGATTCGATCGCCGACTCTTGATACCGGCTAGCTATCGAACAGGCTGTCTCCAGGCTTGTTTAGGTACATTTGCTCGGGCAAGAGGGGGGGGACTCGACATGGCGAGCCAGTGGACGAATCATGGCGAGGGGACATAGAAGAAAGGGCCTAAGAGCCGGACAGCCGCACACAGCAGCTTGCGGATGGGCAGAAAGCTAATGCTAGTGGGACTGGGACTGGGACTGGGACTGGAAGCGCGGAAGAAGCCATGAGACCAGGGCGGCATAGAGAGCTGTCAGTCAGTCAGTCCGTCAGTCAGGCAGTGTGGCTGTCGAGAGGACAGGACCCCGCAAAAAAGCCGAGACGGCGGGTGTTTCGACGGGGCTATGGATGGCCGGCTTTGGCTCGCTGCTGGATACGTCGAGATGCGTGCGGGCTGGTGGTCGGTTGGCGTTCGTGCAGAAGCTGAAAGCCACGCATCGCGGGAGGCCCATGACACACGGCGACGGGCGTGTACAGGCCGTGTAGAGTATACACGGCGACACGGCGCACCTGGGCGGCGCGAATGCTCCATGGACAATGGGTTCCGGGCCAGGTCGCCCGTTATGCCTGCGGGCAGGGGGAGTGGGAGTGGGCTGCCCGTCGGGTCGGATTCCCAGCGGCGGGCGCCACAGGCCGCGCCACAGGCCGCGCCACTCGCAGCGCCACGGGCAGCGCCACCACGGCACACGCGAGCTGAAGATGCGGCCGCCAAGCTGCGAGCGCGGTGGTTGACGTGCTCGTGCTAACCCAACCTAACCCCAATCTCTAGCACCATCTGTCATGTACGCCTGCCGCCGCCGCCCACCAGGCAGCTGATAATGACGACGTCGAGGGCCCGCTGCTCCATTCGCCGACGCCCGAGAGCCTACGCTGCCACACGCCCGCCGCCTGCCATGTTGAAATGTCCATGTTTCACCCTCACCCGCCGCCCGCTCATGTCGCCGGCAGGCCAAATAAGTAATTCGCAATGCCTCACGATGCCCCATGCAGGAACCTGCCCGCTCAGCCCCGCCTCTCGTATTTATACCAAGCACCCCGGTGCAAATCCTACAGGAACAAGACGACGCCCGTTGGCTTCTGATACTCCTTCTATTATTGTCCGGGGCCTCGAGTTGCCCTAGTGCTGATGCTAACCGCTCCCGGCGGCTGCCCTGAGGTATGTAATGCCAACGCCTGCCCGCTTTCTGTACGGTAAACCGACAGACTAATTAGTGCCATACTGACGGACCTGCAGCTCTCCAGCACCTCGTACACGCCTAGGTGCATTGTGCCAAGGCCCATATATTCTTCGCCGTCGTCATTACTCTGCCCATGCCTCCGCTCGCGAGACCTGCCGCTGTGGCCAGCGTGGACGGCTGGCGCATGTTATTTGAACCGCGGGACCTCTTCAGCACCGTCTCGCTGCTGTGCTTGTTCGCAACAGTCCTCCGCTCAATTGCTCTGCACATTGGGAACAGAAAGAGAAGTGTGTCACGTGCCCATACAGACCTGGAGCACTCAACCATGGACCAAGACGAGTTGATGCTGAAGCAACGAAAAGACTCGTCTCAGGGTGGGCAAGTACATCTTCGACCGGCCAAGGAAGCGAGCCCGGTTGGCGAATCAAAAAAGCAGCCTAGTCAGGAGACTCAAGAGGATAGCGAGGTTCATCCCTCGTCGCTGGAGCAAAAGCCAAACGACTACCTCGAATCCCTCAAACAAGAAACTCGTCAACCGTCTCTTTCTCCCATTTACCCATGGGTCGCGCCTCCGCAAAGACTTCCGGGACCATATGATGCACCCTACTATCCTCTTCCATTGCCGACCATTGCGCTGCAAAAGACACATGAAACCGAGGGTCAAACGACTCCCAAGACGACTGAAGACGAAAAACCCGAAGAGCTGGAGACTATCGTATTTTCTCGACGAGTGCCCACAAGTAATAGCACCGAGGCGGGCGCCGTCCGCGAAGAAGTTGTCACTGTCTCCAACAAAGGGTGGCGACGTACCCAGTGGACAGTCAACACTGGATGAAATAGACGACACCGTCCTCAATCGCATCGCTACCGCACAACGCAAAAAGCAGAAGATAGAGAAAAAAGAAGCGCCTCAGACGCACACTGCCACAATATCCGCAGAACCCTCAAAGAAACAACACATACACACCTTGTCTTTGCATAATCCCCTCCCCCTCCTCCTCCTCTTTTCTCTCTCTGTACACCAAGAATACAAGCTACGTCACAAATCCCAGCTCACCACCGCCCGCCATCACCAGCATCCCTCACACAGAAGGGAATGCACGCATGCACGACACCACACCACCACACACCACACACCACACCACACCATCATGTGCGCACGCCTCCAAACGCCCAAAAGCGGGTTTTCCCACCCCTCTCCCACACACCTTTCTCTCCATACAGACTCATGTACAACGGCGCATGGGGGAGCTGGCGGGCTGGGCTGCTGGGCTTGCATTGGTGCTTCGGTGGCTTGCGCGCTTAGTAGCTGAGCGCAGCGCGCCCACCCCATCCTTCCTTCTCCCGGCATGGGCCAAGCAGCGGAAAAAGTGGAGCGCGCGCGACAGAAATACGCGAGTCCACATGCAGGCTGGAGTTTAGCCTGTGCGACTTCTTTTTTTTTTACTACCCACTACCCCGTTTTCGTCCAAGGACTACGGCGAGGGGACGGGAAGGAACGGAGGGAGAGGAGGGAGAGGAGGGGAGAGCAGGGGCGAGGTTGGTGCGGGTACATGGAGGTGTAGAGGGCGTTGTGCTTGGGTGCTTTGGTGGGTGGGTGGGATGGGAGGGATTAGACGGGTTAGATGCATGTATGTATCTATCTATCTATGTATACGTTGCGTGTTTTATACATTCTAGTGCGTATTGTGTGCGTGTGTATCGTATTGTATCGTATCCTAGGTGCATGCTTCCCAGACACAATAGCAGTAACAACCAAAAAAGAGTCCCTAAACTACGGCGTTTTTTTTAAAGCATTGGCGCTCTTTACCGCTTCTTCTCCCTCCCTCTCTCTCTTCTCTCTTCCCTCCTTTCTACCCTGGCCCTTTCCTTTTTCCAATCTTTTCCTTCTTCTTCCCCATCACACCATGTATATAATGCATGACTCGATGTCTTGCGGCTGTAGAATAGGGTTTTCCCCTCCCCCTCCCCTCCCCCGGACTCGCTTCGGGACTGCGTGATATGCCGGTGGGGTGAGTGTGTATTTTCTTTTGTTTCTCTTTGTTTTGTTTTTTCGGGTGAGGCTGGTTGGCTGGTTGGGTCTGGACTGGACTGGACTGGACTGGACTGGGGACTGGGTTTTGGGGTGTTTGGGGTTGGTATCGTTGGTATGGAAGGTGGGGTGGAGGGCTTTATCCATGCAACCACCTCATTGCCATATCCCATACACACAATAAGCGCGCGCACAGCACACACACACATATACTGCAGCCAGACCAGACCAGCCCAGCCCAGCTCAAATCGAGAACATAGCTGAAACGCGCGTCTACGTGTAGCCATTCAGCCCGCCTGTTTCCTTTCTTTCTTCTTCCATCTTCCACCCTGCTTCTTTTTTAATTACATGTATATCATCTCCGGTCCATTACTCTTTCTTTCTTTCTTTCTTCTTCTTCTTCTTCTTCTTCTCCTCCTTCTCCTTCTTCTCCTTCTTCTTTCACATTTGCTTTCCCAGTTCGATCAACCCAAGCACAAGCACATATAGTATGGGATTTACACATTCCCCACCGGTGTTTCGAAAACACGAATAAGAAAAAAACAAAGAGAAATAGAGAAACGATAGGTGTGAAACGACATGCAGTGCAAGGATATGGCCTGGGATATGATGTGATAGAGAAGAAGGAAATACCATCTCCCTCACCCCCGTGATTTACACAGCGAGCATCTCCGTACATGTATTCGGGAAGAGAAAAAGAAAACGCCACGGTATCTCATCGAACCAATGGTTTTTGATCGCCAATCTTGGAATGCAAGTGGAAGTGGAGTGGAAGTGGAGTGGTGTGGGTTTGCTTACATTCTTTTATTTTGTATGTGTATTTCTGGTTTGCAGTGTTCATGCACGTATATATATATATATATGTGTGTGTAGACCACACAAAGAAAGCAGTACGTAAAAAAAAACTGTCCATGCAAAAGCCTCGCTATGCATGTATCTACGCACTTACACACCAATTCCTTCTAGTCAGCCCCAGCCCTGCAGTATATATACGAGCGCATATCGAAGTAGCTATATATTTCGGAGTAGCAACACTGACGCGAGAGAGAGAGAGAGAGAGAGAGAGAGAGCCAGGTTCGGTATCTAGTCATGCTGACTCCTGTATGTTTTCCGACTACTACTACTACTACTACTACAACAACATCCACTCCCGTACACCCACTCACACATATCCATCCATCCATCCATCCCGAACGATCGATGCAGGATCAAGGGTATGCACATGAGCATGAGGTGTACGCTAATGGTAAGGCGAGTATCATTGTACTCTTGCTTTTTCCTTGAACTTGGTTGGGGCCGGGATACCATGGTAGGCATGGGTTATGGAAAAGCGCTTGAAGACCGGTATGGAGGGTTCTTGAGATCAGTTCGTTTGTCGGAAAACGGTATGGCGAGGTTGTGTGCATTGTAGGCGACTAAGATGGCTGGTTCGTGGCGGGCTGGAAGCAAATAAGTTTGACATGTATGTGGCTACATGGAGTTGAAGGCAACACCGCTCGACGTCAAGTGACGTGTTGAATCAACAAGAGCTTGTATGTGAATATATTCTTCTTGATTCCCGCTCGCTTCTTGAAAATTGAATAATAATAGGTATCTTTGTGTCCGGATAATGCAAAACGCCCATGGGGGATATCTATTGCCACCACTTCTACTCGCCGGCCCCGCTAGTCGCAGTCGCACCTCACGGGCTTGACTTCCACTCGTACCGCTCGCTGACGGTATACCACCTAATCAAGCTGCGTGCGCCGACCTCGTCGCCGGTGCGGAACAGCTGCGCGACATCGATGTTGAGCGGGCTGTCTGGCTCGGCGCTCGTAAGCAGCTGGTGTATGCTGGTCATGGTGGTGGAGATGGTGTAAGCGGGGGTCCACGATGTCTTGAGCAGGTCCAGGCAGATCTCGCCCGTCTTGAAGTCGACGTTGGGGTGGCAGATGGGCGTTATGAAGCGCACTGTGGGCGGCGCAAGCGGGTATGACGCTGGGATGGAGATGGAGAGGAGCCAGCAGCCGTCTATGGTTTTTTATGTCAGCATCAATCATGGGTGTTTTGGGCGGGCGTGCATACCTTCGTATGCTGTTCCTGGCACGCCCTTCATGACAGCCCGCCACTGCATGACGTCCTCATCTGTCGGGCCCAAGTCGTACAGCACCTCGTTCTTGTTGGACTGGTACGTCTGCAGCTCCGTCATCAGGCGCTTGATGGGCGAGGCGTTGCGCGAAGAGCCGGCCATGGTGGGTCGCGGGCAGTCTGTCTCTCCAGCTGCACGCGTCGGGCGGGCGATGTGGAAAAGAAGGCGTGGGAGGCGAGGCGCTGGGCGTGATAGCGGTGAGGATGGCGAGCGGAGGCTGGCTGCCAGCAAGGCGTGTCGTCGCCCGGTGGCATGGGTAGCTGGCTGGGCTGGCCGCGGTGATGCTGCACCGAGGTCCAGGGCACGTGTCGTCGCGCGCACAGAGCGTCCTCCCCACCAAAACTTTTGGACAGCATCGTGATATCCGCACCGCCTGGCCTTGGAGTTGCACGCATACACCGACATACACGCGAGCCTTGTCACCGTTTTCCATGCATGCTTCGGCGTGAGGTTCCAGCCAATCGCCCTGCTTCTCTCTTCAGCTCTGCTCCCTCTCCCCTGTGACATCACCACGCAACACGCGCATACCGTATCGCACACGGAGCCATGGTCGCCCCAACGGTCGCCCTTACGCATCTGAACCGCGCAGACGGCTCCGCGACATATACCCACAACGGCTACTCCATCATTGGCGCCGTCAACGGCCCAATCGAGGTACAGCGACGCGATGAGCTGCCGGAAGAAGCCGCCATTGAAGTGAATGTGCGGCCAGCCATGGGCGTTGGAAGTGCGTATCTTCAGAAAAAAGTAGAAGAGTAGAAGGAGATCTGGCGCTGACACAGCTCAAGGCCCAAGAGAGCGACACCTCGAAACACTCGTGCACAACACGCTCCGCAGCATCATCCTCACACAAGCGATACCGCGCACACTGGTGCAAATCACACTGCAAGTGCGAAGTCTACCAGAAGAAGACAGCACAGCAGGCGCCAACGCGGTGCGTTTCTTCCCACCTTCCATCTTCCCACACAGTTCAAACCCGCTAATCCAGTCGCAGTCTCTCACGCTCCTCCCCCACCTCCTCCACACTGCGCTGCTCGCACTCCTCTCCGCCTCGATACCCCTCCGCACAACCCTCACCTCCGTCCTCATCGCCCAGCCCGCCTCGCCATCCAGCAAGGCCTCTGCGCCGCTCCTCTCGCCAACCGCCAACCAGCTCTTGCGCGCGAAACCCATACGCAGCATCCACGTCTTTGCCTTTTCCGGCGACCGCAAAATGCTGCTGAGTGAGAGTGAGGGGACTTTTAGCTACGAGGAGTGGAATGAGGCTTGCGAAATGGCTGAGAATACGTGCTGTGGTGAGGACGACGACGACGACGACGACCAGGGTGGGATCAAGTTGGATATCGAGGGCGAGGCTATGGACGTCGATGCGCAGGCTGAGGCGGAGAGCTTGGACAAGTGGTTGAGGAGTGTGGTCAAGAGGAAGGTCGAGCATGAGCAGCGGTGGAGGAGCGCAACGTGAAGAAATGCAATGACTAGAGCAGGAAACTAGTGGTGCGGGCAAGTTGGGATGTCCGCGTCATGCTGATTGTCGGGCGAATCGACGCGCATGTCGCATGAAGTTGGAAATCATACGAAAGACGCGGTGTCTGGATACCCAAAGCAGAGTCAGCTGTTCATGATGCCTTAACTCTAGTTGGCATGCGGTTGAGCGAAAAAAAAAGATTCTGGGGCTGTCATATTGTATACACGATATCCGGCACTGCTCTCGTCTTATCCAAGGCGTGAGCATGTTGCTGTACGACAACAGCTCCAGATCCAACGGGCAGATCAAGGCTGAGGCTTAGCCGATGCCTGTGAAAGCAATACACGCATCAATCAATCAACGACTCCAAATAAATAAATAAAAGCAACTCAAATGCAAAGTCAAAGGCGATAGATTGCGCTGCCTACAATACAACACGAACTGTATATCTGCCTACCTACATGCACTAGGAATGTATGCCTGCGAACGCCCAAGCGCAAAATAATGCTATATCCAAATACTAGACAAGGAAAACAAAGAGGGTATATGCGCTATATTCGTCATGAATGAAGTGGTGTTCGGTATGATTGTGGTAATCGAGGGTCGTGATGTCGGGGTTTTTTTTTATTTCGTTCCTTTTAAAGTTCGTGAGTCGTGTGTGTTGGGATCTCGTGTCGTCGCAGGATGGTGAAAGTTTTTTTCCTTCCTTCTTTCCTTCTTTCTTCCTTCCTTCCTTGCAGGGCTATGCAGATTGCGAAAACGGGAAAGAGGCAAGGAATTCTCATCTGAAACATGGATTGAGAAGAATTCACCGCAAATGGCGGTGCGGCGGTCAAACGTCTTCGAACCCCCCGTCGAACCGTTTCTGGTCCCGGCGTGCTTGGTCATCCAGCAGGCGTATCAAAGACGCTTGCGGATCCCAATCAGGTACTTCCCAGATCTTGATTTCCTTTTCGAACTTGCCCGGCTGGTCAATGAGCCGCACATCCTGGCTGCAGGCTTTGGCTTCTCTCAGCCAGTCTCTCCAGGCTACCGTGTCGGGACACGCCGAACTTCTTTTCACCCAATCCGTCTCTTTACTGACGCAAATGGCCCTCCAGAGCGCCTGTGTGAATGTTTCGTTCCTGGAAGGGTATCCTTTTATTCTCTCGTTCGAGTCCGAGAGACTCTCGGGTACAACCTCGTAGCAAGATGTGTCCCAGTGCATCTTGCTAGGCAGCGCAGCCACTATCCAGTATGCGGCGCCAAGAAGCATGTAGGCGCCAGCCCATGCAATTTGTAGTTGAATCTGGGCATTGGCAAGGCATATGACGCCGCCCATGAGCATAATGGTGCCGATCAAACTGATCAGTCTGTACACCGGAGCGTGTTCTATCAGGTAGTTGATGCTCTCTGGTGCAAAGTAGAGCTCTCGAGCTACGTCTTCCTCACACCGCACTATCAGGAAACTTCCTTTTGGATATCGGATGACAACATCCCCCCGGGGGACTTTGCCATGCTTGTGTTTACGTTCAGGAAGTCGCAGCTCCCATTTGTTGCTGATACCAATCAGACTGGAGAGAAACGACAGGAGCAAGGTCGCAACGAGAGACATGCCGTCTCTTTGCCATATTGACAAGGCGAAGAGAAGTATGGTCAGCGTGAAGCCAATAAGCGCTACGAAGGTGAGCGGGCCAAACGTCTTTGCTTTGAGAGGTTGTTCGCCGACACGCTTGATCTCGACGACCCGGACGGAGAAAGGCTCAAGGTGGTTAGCATCGCTGTTTGTTCTTTGTAAGCATTTGTACAGTATAGCTCATTGAAAAATGGCATGTGTGGCGTCCAGGACGTTGCTGAGTGTGGTAGACAGGCGGGGGAGTGCCCGGTTCAAATTGATGCTAGCCATGTTTCCCAGCAATGATGTACTCACCAGACGATGTTGCCAATATGGTTGATATTGTCTCGGTGGTTGCCTGAGACGATGCCCGTCACATGGCCAGCGAACGGCTCGAGTTTGACTGGCCTGGTCGGCCTCATCATAGCCTGAGGCGCTGGGAGCAGCCGGGGCAAGAAGATCCATTTTGAAAGCGTCGAGATTTGGGCGTTTGCTAGTACGGAACCTTCACCTAAAATGGCCAGGAAACCAACAATGTCGAGCTGTAACTGGCCATAGGAGAGGTTGCCATTTTCGTCTGCTGGAAGCCAATGCATCTCGCCAAGAGGTCGGGGTTCTAGTGTTGTGAAGAGCACGCAGGTGGAACAAGGTCGACAGGCGGCATGTGTCCAATTTGAAGTGCTCTGTGGATGTGGAGAAGCTGCTAGAGAGCGATATAAAACAGTCGCACAGCGGACGCGGAGTATGCATGCATGATGGTGACGACGCGCGGGTGTAGATCGGGAGCGAAGGTGTTTGTTCAAGCTGGGGGCCAAAAGCGCCTGTGTCGCCCACGAGTGCTACCAGTGGCGGGTGTCATACCACTTGGGTTAGGAATATACGCGCTGCACCAACGAAGCGAGTTTCCATCCATGTCGACAGCCGCCGGCCGACTGGGCCTGTGCAACCGCGGGGCCTCAGGCTTAAGAGTAGTGAGGGGCATGGCTGGCAACCAGTGGCTGGGCTTCGAGACCATGGCAGCCGGTGCCGCAAGGCTGCATACGGCGTTTCTGCATAGCCTCACCCGCCCAGCTACCAGGCCGACTCGGGGCGTCTTTCGAGGAGTGAACCGCGTGCCGCGAGAACGCCTTGGGCCCGTGAATTGCTGCGCCCCGTCGAGCTTGTTGACATCGCCTGTCCTCGTCAGTTCGGCGCAGCCCTAGAACAGACGCACGCGCCAGGCTGATCCCGCGTGGAACGACTCGATAGCGACACCAGCGTCCAGGGCCCGATTGCTGCAAGAAGACATTAAAGGTGGTGTCGCGAGTGCCGGTGTTGTGAGGAGAGGGAAGAGTTTTTGGCAGAAAGTGTGCGCTGATGTAGGTGGATGCTCCTTCCTTCTGTGCCTTAGACGCTCCTTCCCTCAGACAACCTCGTCATCTCCTTTCACCCACGCCCAGACAATCAGGCAAAGCTCGCTTGGAAGCCCATCAAAATGACACTCTAATCAAATTCACATCTTGTGCTGCTCACTGGTTGCCACTCGATGCGTTGTCCATCTTTGAGTCCATCACCCCTAGGCAACAGCCGCCTGCCGTCCTCCATTACTTCATCAACCGTAGGAAAGAGGCGCAGCACACCTGCACTACACCGGAATTTGTATCCTGAAACTCTTTACTGATCTGACCGCCCACGTGAATTAGGCCGAAATACGGGTCGGCCATACTGGGCACTACACAATCGACTACACCTGTTACAGACTTTGCCCTAGCAAAACACTGCAACCAGCGACTGATGCTTCTACACAGCCCAAACCGGTCAAAGTATTAGTATTACAGCAAATATTTTTGAATACCGGTGCACCGCATCCAGCCAGCATTGGAGTGTTTCACCTGCACCTTCACTCGCATCCCTGTGAGCAGCTGATAGACACCTTGCCAAGAACATTATCGGCATGCCAATTGACGGCGACCCCAAACCCTTGAGTGAGTCTCCAGAAGCCCGGCCAGGCTGGTTATCCAAGTGCGGCATCGTGGTCCCCACACTGTGAGCCCCGGACCAAACACTCGCATTCTCTGCGCATTTATATTAATGGTTACATGTAGTTTTGTACGTGGCAGGCACACCTCTCCCGGAGACCCAAACAGGCCGGTCATGACCGTCGCTGACTCCCCAAAGAAGAGAAAAAGGCCAACCAGCCCTCATCCAAAACGCAAAATGCCTCTGCGTTCTGAAGAGACAAGACCCGCTGATCACTCGTTTGACAACATGACGCAACAGCAAAAGGAAGCGGAGGCCTTGGCAAGGTTTGGTCAAAAACTCCAAGATGCTAAAGCCTGCGAGGAGTACGATGGAGAGAGAGCAAATCTTCTCAAAGCCGAAGACGAAAATGCATGGGATCGCGGAGCAAAGCCGAAGAGTACTTCGACATCTGAGCAAGATAGGCTGGAAAGAAGAGCGGCAATCATCATACACGCGATACGCGAGTACGAGCGTATTGTTACCTTTGGCAACATCGCCTCAGAAGCGCTACCACTTCCCGAGGATCAAGACATGGGTGGCCAATATCTTACTAACAAGGAGCGCATAGATACTCAGAGCAAGCTATTTGAAATTTCCAAGATTGTACCCAAGGGTGCCCTCTTGCATCTGCACTTCAATGCCGAACTGTATCCTGAACTACTTCTTGTACGCGCGCGGAAAATGGAAAACATGTACATTCGCAGCATTCAGCGCATCCAAGATGAACATCAGTTGGGTATGACTGAACTGATCTTCAATGTCTTGGATCCAGCCACCGTTAACCCTGACGTTGATATTTTCTCGGTGGACTATCCCCTCATCACAACCCCGCAGGATCTCAAAAAGGAAGGATTCCAACAGCAAATCTGGATGCCGTGGGCGAAGTTTCAGGATGCATTTGAGAAGAAGTTCCCAGGACAGTACAAGCACGAAGAGCCTGAAACATTTCGAGAGGGACGGCCACATCACTGTGGAGACTCGGCACACCATGTTCTCAGGCCTGCTGAGAACTGGCTGAGGTCCAAGATGGTGCTTAGTCGAGAGGAAGCCTACCATCCTGACCAAACCGTTAATGGGTATGTTCGTTCCCTCTCAACAAGATAGTCTACTGATACAATTCTAGAGTCTGGGCTCGATTTAACCAAGCTACGAGGGCGTTTAAGGGACTGCTTAACTACGAAAGTGTTTACAAATCATACATAAGCGATGCTATTGACCAGATGATTCAGGAAAAGGTCATGTACGCTGAACTGCGCCCCATGCTATTAGACAAAAGCATTCCTGGTAACAGCGGCAAACCAGAAGATTCCGTTGACCTCGCTGCTCAGATGAAGCTCATCATTGCTGGCGTAGAAGCGAAGAAGGCTGAGTTGTTGCAAAAAGGTGAGATTCACAAGTTCCCGTTTGGACTCAAGATCATCTACTGCACGCCACGATCCATACCACCACACATGATGGAGAACGAGATGAGAGATTGCATCAAGCTCAAGATTCAGTTTCCAGATCTCATCTGCGGTAAGCAAAGTCCAACTTCGCATCATACGTTCAGCCTCTAAGCGTCTTAGGTTTTGATCTGGTAGGTGCCGAAGACCGGCCCAACCATATTGGCTTCTACAGGACGCAACTCGTCGCATTTAGAGAGACATGTAAGGCGCTGAATCTAGATATCCCCTTCATGTTCCATGCTGGAGAGACGTTGCTGGACACGGGTGGCTCCAACGATCCCACAAAGTCGAATCTTTATGACGCTGTGGCCCTAAACTCGAAGCGCATTGGTCACGGCTTCGCCCTGATGAAGCACCCTCTTTTGGTAGAAAAATTCCGGAAAACCGACACCAACTCTGGCATCTGTATCGAGCTGTGCCTAATCTCAAACGAGCTCCTGCATCTTTGCAGAAACGTCAAGGAGCATCCGTATCCGGAACTGTTGGCTGCTGGTATACCCTGCACCGTCAACTCGGACAACCCTTCGCTCTTCAGGTATGCTCTCATCTCCTCATAAACTCCATTCCCCCCATCCTTCTGCCCCACCATTAACAACCTACAGCAATTCCATGTCGCATGAGTTCTACCAAATCATGGTCGGCGCGCCAACCATGTCTCTGTACAGCTGGAAGCAGCTCGCCCGCTGGAGCATCGATTACAGCTGCCTGAGCCCCCAACAGCAAGTCCAGGCCCACGAGTACCTCGACAGCGCGCGGGCCGACTTCTGCAAGACGGTCGTAGACAGGTACGAGTACCTCATGGACGGCGACAAAATCGATCCGTTCAAGGCTGAGGACGCATATCCGCCGCGCAAAAGGAGACACCCTGATGTTCTCAAGGCGCTTGCGTCAAAGCTAGAGTGAGGCCAAGTGGGTTGAAAATGGTGGGCTTGGAATGGAGTGGAAAGGGAGGGTGCAGTCAGATAGACGTGGGTTCAGGGAGAAGTATAGAGCAAGGAGCGTTTACAGGGTGTACATGGTATACTGGTCGTAAAGTAGATGTTTCAACACTATAACTCGGTAATGTTATCTCTCTGCTTGTACCTATGTTTTCCTAGTCATGGTGCAGGAAGATGTGTAGTGGTGACATGTGTGCAGCTGCTTCACGGCGATGCCCTTGCGTGCATTCAACATCACCTCGTTTAGTCATGCGAACAGTTCAAAACGACCATCTCCACACTATTTCATATTTACATATTCCCTGGAGTCTTGGAAGTAGTGCTCATAGCTACATGACCATTCATCTCAGCCCCATTCAAGCCTTATCCTTCATCGCGCGCAGCGCGCCCATAACATCGATCGGCGCCGTCTTCCCCGTAACCTTCTGTAACTCGGGATCATGCACACGCATGAACACATTATGCTGCTTCTCATCTCCAATCGTGAATTTACCCTGCGTCTGCTTGTTTTCCTGGGAATACTTGTCGAGCCTAGCAATGGCATCGTTGTTCAGTACGCTCTTGGCAAACTTGACGTTGCCCTTTGTGTACTCGTGGCCCGGGAACACCTTTGTGTCGTCGGGAAGTGCGGCGAGCGTTTCGTTCAGCGCGGCGTGCATCTGCTCGGGCGTGCCTTCGAAGAAGCGGCCGCAGCCGCCGATGAAGAGCGTGTCGCCGGTGAAGACGGCGCGGTCGCCGCCGTCTTCGAGGAAGAAACAGATGCTGTCTTGTGTGTGGCAGGGCGTGTGCAGTGCTGTTACCTTGATGGATCCAATGGTGAAGGTTTCCTTGTGGCTCGGGGTCGTGGTAACGTTTTCGCAGTCTTTTCCGCCGATAATAGGGAGGTTGAAGGCTTTGAGCTGGATCAGGGATTAGAGAAAATGATGAAGATGTGATGTTGATATAGAGAGCGTCTCACGATTTCAGAGTTTCCGCCGGCATGGTCGTGGTGACTTTTGGAATATGTTAGGGTGCTTCAATGCGATGGTGTGGCCAGCTTACTGGTGTGTATTGATGATCTTGGTCAGTTTGAGGCCTCCTGCAGTGGTTTGCTCTTTCAGGACGGGTAGGACCCTACAGAGTTGTTACTAAAATACTGCATTTATACAGCCCCTCTTTGAGCGTACTCTGGCGGGTTCGCCGGATCAATAATGACAGCTTCCTTGGTCTTGTCATCGGACACTAGATAGGCATAGTTGTTGCCTGTACCCTCCCCTGATGGACGAGTGAGCGGGCTAATTGGAGTAATCTTCCCATCAAGGTGCTCGTACACATGGGAATTGATTGGATATGCATGGCTCGTGCAGGTATGTGTGAAGGCTGCTTAGCGTTAGCCCTCTGACATCATCAGAGCCGCTGAGACCGCTTACTCGGACAATGGGTCTGAAAAGCGATGGCAGAGAGTAGCGCTTGATGGACGCGGCGAGAAAGCTCATAAGGAGGATACCAAAGATGAATTGCCGTGCTGCAATTGATGGCCTGAGGACGCCCAACACTGGATGCAATGACGTGCTAGTTCCCTATCGATAACACAGTCACGTGTACCGAGGCCCGCTTCCCGGGTCGTGAACCGTGACTAGCCTTGTTCTCGCGCAGTATCGCTTCTTCATCAATTTTTCCTGTCACCGCAACGTGCATGTACATGTCCTGATATCTCCAATTCGCATCACTTTGGTACATGGCAATTTCGTAGCAAACAGGAAATTTTTATTTACACTAATTATTCGAAAGAAACAACCCTCAGAAACCCAGCTGTACGCCACAACCATGCTCATGTATTCGTGAAAATCATACCACATTATACCATTCCATCACAACAATGACTTCAACCTCTTCTCCAGCGCCGGCTGCGCTGTGAGTCCCTCGCTTCGCAGATGGCGCTCCTGTGGGTCATACAAAGGATCGCGCGTTACTGTGGCCTGGATCTTCTTGCCAAAGTACTCAATCTCCACCGACTTTCCTTCGCCGACATTACTTGGAAGCCATGCGTACGCCACGGGCTTTCGTACGGTGTAGCCAAAAGCCGCACTGGTAACATAGCCAGCTCTTTGGCCTTCAACAAACACAGGCTCCTTGCCCATCACCATGGACCGACCATCGTCGACGGTGAGACACCTCAGCCGGCGGGGCGGCGCCTTCTTCGAAAGCTGTTCCAAGGCAAACTTGCCAACGTATTCAGCCTTCTTGTCCATTTGGATGGCGTATGTGACTCCGGCTTCCCAGGGGTTATGCTCCGAATTCATGTCGGATCCCAATGCTCGGATGCCCTTCTCGATTCTCAGGCCGTTGAATGCTGCACGACCGGCGGCAATGAGGCCATGAGGCTTACCTGCCTGCCATAGTATGTCCCAAAGGCGCAAACCCAGGTCAGGCGTGGTTTGGATCTCCCAGCCGTACTCGCCTACGAAAGACTTTCGGAACATGGTGACTGGAATACCTGCTATGCTTGTCTTCTTGACGCCCATGTAGGGTAGTCCGTTGCTGCTGAAGTCGTCGGGGCTGACTGTTTGGATAACATCCCGAGCCCTGGGGCCCCAAAGACCAAGGCAGCAGGTGCTGCCTGTAATGTCTCGTACTTGTACCCACTGGCCTGGAGTATGCTTCTCTTGGTGGCGAGCCTCGCGTGAGAGGTAGGCAAGATCGGTCGCAGTATTCGCGCCCACCTGAAACAGGTCTCCTTCGATTCTCGACACGAAGACGTCACTCAAGACGCCGCCGTGAGCGTTGACAAGTAGGGTATGGACGATACCACCGGGTTTTCCAGAGACGTCGCTAGTGGTAAGTCTTTGAAGCAAATGGACTGCGCCAGGGCCAGACACCTCGAAACGGTGGAAGGTGGTCATGTCATATAGCGCCACCGCGTTACGAGTTTTCCAGGCTTCAGCTGCAGCAATCGGCGAGTAAAACTTGGACGACCAGGCATCGCGGTCGACCGGCTTCCACTCCTCTGGCAAAGTTTGCACCAGGCTGGCATTGGCTTCGTACCAGTGTGGACGCTCCCAGCCTCCAACCTCGAGGAAGAATGCGCCTTGCTCCTTTTGTCGAGCATAGAAAGGACTGAGACGAAGGTTACGAGGGCTCTCTTTTGGTGCAAGAGGGTGGATGATGTCGTAAATCTCTACAAAGTTCTGCTGCGAGGTTTCGCTGACGTACTCTGGGCTCAGCTGAACTTCTTCAAACCGTGTCAGCTCACACTCGGAGACGTCCACGGTCGAACGGCCCTCTGTGAGTGTCTCTGCGACAGCTCGAGCAACACCAGCCGAGTGTGTGACCCAAACAGCTTCTGCAACCCAGAAGTTGTCCAAGTGAGGAGCTTGTCCGACGACCGATCCACCGTCTGGCGTGAAGGAGAAGATTCCGTTGAAGCCGTCTGCAATCTCAGTCTGGCGTAAGACGGGAAGCAATTCTTTCGTTGCTTTCCAAGCCGGCTCAAAGTCTTCGGGTGTGAACTCAAGTCGAGAGGGCATACTCTTCTCATCCACATGCTTGGGTGTAACACCCAACGAAGATGCTTTGATGGGCATCGGGCGATGGCCGTAGTAGCCAATACCATACTGATCTCCATGCTCTCTGTAGTATAGGTCCTGGTCTTGGTGTCGGAGGATCGGATATTCGGCGTTCATGGCGTTGATCTTCTTGTTGACCTCGCGGTTCTCGAGACCGGGAACAGTCGTTGTCTTTGCATACTGGTGACCGAGAGGAAGCAGCGGCACCTTCAAACCAACCATTGCGCCAATCTCTACACCCCAAAAGCCCGCACATGAAACAACTATGTCGGCTGGGACTGAACCGTTGTTCGTCGTTACGCCGGTCACGCGTCCGTTTGCTTGCTCGATGCCCGTTACGAGGGTGTGCTCGAGATATTTTACGCCGGCGTTGCGTGTATTCTCGATCAGAATCTGGGTCGCGCGAGCTGCCAATGCGAGGCCGTCAGTCGGGATGTACAGGCCGCCCAGGACAATGTCCTTGTTGAGAAGCGGATATTTCTGGAGACACTCTTCGGGGCTGATCAGGTGCGCCTCGATTCCCCAGGACTGCGCATAGCCATGCTTGCGCTTGATTTCCTGCAGACGCTCAGGTGTGGTCGCAACCTCCATGCCACCCAATTGGTTGAAGCAGTTCTGCCCATCCTTTTCGAGGGCTTGTAGTTTTTCGACCGTGTACTTTGCGAGCAGGGTCATTGTTTTCGACGGGTTCGTCTGGAAGACCAGGCCAGGCGCATGCGATGTGGAGCCACCAGGCATGCTCAAAGGGCCTTGTTCGACAACGGTGATGTCCTTCCATCCTCGCGAGACCAGCTCGTCGGCAAGGTTGGTGCCGACAATGCCGGCGCCGATAATGACAACGCGCTGGGAAGTCGCCATTGTCGAGAAATTGAGGAAAAGAGATATTGGGGTATTGGCTGCTGAGAGCTGTCGGAGGCTCTGCTTCTCTTAAAGGCGTTCACGCCCGCGATAACGGACCACGTCGCCGCGCTCTTCCATAGGAGAAGCCGAAACTAAGCGTGGCCCAGCTCTTCAATTGGCAAAACATCTCGCGTGCTATGTCCAACGGCAGCGGGTTGTCCCAAAAGGGCCGCCCGCCCCGCATGCGATCCTGACGGCATTAGTGGGGAAGATGCCAGTCGTGGTTGTAGGGTCCTGATGTCCAAATCGGGCCTAGCGCAGCATGTGCCAGATAGGAAGAGGCAAGCCGTGGCGACACTACATAGCTCCCAACAACCCCGCGTCGCGCGTGCGCATCACCCTCCGACCTTCCTACACCCGTTCCTCCTCAGCATCTCCCTCTCAGGCCATGTCAGGTCAGTATGCATAGTACGTGGAGCTTAGTATGCTCTTCTCCCAGCGAGACTACTCGCCCTTCTGTCCTGCCGAGCAGTGACAACGAACTACTTCTGCTGTAATCCAACGCTGCAGAACAAAGCAATCACTTGCTATAAGGACTGAGAGTGATTGTACGCCTTCAAGCCTTGCGCCAATGCATTACGACCGTCCACTGCGACAAGCCCAGACATTCCACCATCGCGACAAGAGCCTAGCGACAAGACTTCGCCCAAATCGGCACCTCTTCCCACGGTGCTATGCGAATGCAGCAACCTGCCTTCGTCAGCACTTCAAATCTATTGTGTGCACGACGGATCAGCATGCATCGTCCTTGGGGCCGAAGGGCTTTGCCGTAGCCTGCGACGCACTTTATCCGCCCCAGAGCGAGGCTGAGCTCCCTCTCGATGGCCATGAATTCAAACGAGCGCCTTAAGTACATCCTGGGACACACCAATGCTGCAGCATGACCGGGAATTTCATCTCGCAAATCTTCTCGGCGCCCAAAGGGTGGAGATTACCAGATGTGACACCTCACTGTCCTGTCTGCACCTGCCAGGCAGGCTCACGACTGGCGTTGCCGAAAACGCCCAAAGCCTCCCGAATCTTCCACAGCGAGAGTCATGAGGGGTAGTGCCACACTGGCACGTAGTCTTCTGCGTTCGCTCTCGAGACAAGGACATGGTGCTTCCCTGGGACTATTGACGCCTCACTCTTCGCACCCGTTGAGCCGCTTGCGTGCTCCCTTTCGCACTCACCGACAAGGCGCGTTAGACTGCGCAAAGCGGCCATGATTGACTCTGCCTGCGTTGGTTTGCTTGGAGCTCCAAGCCACTGGCTGCAGTCCTGCTATCGGTATCTGCTGCGATAGGCATCGACCCGGCAGCCCCTTCACAATATCCGGGCTATCTCACTGACTGCACAGCGGATTTACAATATCAGAAAATCGGCTGATAAGAGCCCGATAACCTTTCAAAAGTGAGACCGGAATAGCTCCGCCACCGCTTGGTGTTGGCAGAGCGGTCGAGGCTTGGGCTGGCGTCCTATGTCCGCTTTGGGAAATCAGATCCATTCAAGCCCGTGCCAACAAGAGGGGCAAGACGAGAACGGTCTCTGCGTTGTGTCACCATGACCTTGTCATGCATGGGCAATGCAAACCACCCTGGGGTAATGTACCGTTGTCCACTCAAGAGGGGCATCAGGCTTCTAGCCCACTGGCTAGAATGGAGCCTTGATCACGATGGCTGATCGCGCGGTTGCGGAGAGCATTAAAAAAAAATAGTCAAGCAGCGTGGCGCTTGACGGTCACCTGCAGGCAGATTACGTCCACCCACCCCACTGGCTATCGCCTCTCGGGAGCGAATGGAAGCTATAACCCCATGGAGACTTAGTGGATAGTTTGAGTTGATAAGTTGAAGGAGATAATGTGTATGGGTAGAGAGTATAATAATACTCCAGACTTCCATCCATCAAGCTTCATCATCTCCAGCAGACTCGACCATCTCTACTATTACCATCTTCGGCTTCGTTCGATAGCGCTGTTAGATATCCAAACAGCACTCCCTATCTATCAGTCTTCCAACATGGTCGGGTCACTCTTGAGTTACTTTGGCTTTGGTGGCTCAGCCGCCAAAACCCCTGCCGAGAATGAGCCTGTTCGTGCCCTTCCCGCAAACTGGTACACTTCGGAAGAGATGTACCAGCTTGAGAAACGCGCCATCTTCACTCGCAGATGGCTCATCCTTACCCACAAGTCGAGACTTGCAAACCTTGGCGACTTCCTTCGCTACAACATAGCCAACTACGACATTGTCGTTTCCAAGGACCGTTCAGGCGAGATCAACGCATTCCACAATGTGTGCAGGCACCGCGCCTATCCTGTTGTTGAGAAGGATGGGGGAAACGCAAAGATCTTCTCTTGCAAGTACCACGGCTGGTCATACGGCCTGAACGGCAACCTGGCAAAGGCCCCTGGTTACCAGGAACTCCAGAACTTTGATAAGGCTAAGAACGGCCTGTTTCCCATTCACACACGCATCGACCGCAATGGCTTCGTCTGGATCAACATGGACGCAAAGAAGGTGCCAGAGGTATCGTGGGAAGAGCAATTCGACCATGTCGACGAGCAGACGCGCTTTGATCAGTTCAACTTTGACGACTACGTGTTTGACCACACATGGAACCTTGAGGGCCCCTTCAACTGGAAGATTCTTGCAGATAACTTTAACGAATGCTACCACTGCAAGAGCACACACCCCGACCTCACCACTGGACTCGTTGACCTCGAAAGCTACGACGTCTACTGCAATGCCGACCACATTCAGCACGACCCCAAGACTCCTCAATACCGCAAGGATCTCGGCCAGGAGATCTGCTCCACATACTGCTTCCCCAACGCCTCCTTCACCGTCACACAGCACTTCCTCTTCATGCAAAAGTTCATGCCCAAGTCACCAACCGAGTCCGTCATGTACTACGAGGTCTGGCGCAACAAGCACTCCAGCGAGGAGGACTTTTTGCTCATCAGCGACACGTACAAGCGTGTCATGGGCGAGGACAAGGTCCTGTGCGAGCGCGCACAAAAGAACATTGAGGCCGGCGTTTTCATCAACGGCGAGCTGCACCCACGCATGGAGAAGGGCCCTCTCTTCTTCCAGAAGCGTTGCCGCGAGATTGTCATGGAGCACGGCATGCGGGAGAAGAAGGCCGGCCACAAGATCTGGCCTGCAAAGCAGCAGCTCGACTCGGAAGCGGGGTCCGCCATCACAAAGGAGATGGAGGACTTTTGCGAGGGTCTCGCCTGCGGCAACGACAACGAAAAGAGCGATCTTGCTTGGTAAACGCATCCAACTCATGATGACGACTGATTGATGCATGACATTGGTGTTTTAGGCGTGGGTCTGATTAGTACTGGAGGCTTAGAACTCGTACTGTGTGTTTGGGACATGTTCCGGCGTGAACGTCAACTCTTGTAATGACCACTTGGCGATGATTTCACTTTTTCTCTTCTCTTCACCATAGCGCATTTGATTTCATGCTTGATCTAGATTACAATGGAGTTTTTTTTTGACTTTATCCACTTTTTGATGTTTCTCCACCACCATTGACTCTCGCACGCAAATATGCCTTGTAACTACTTAGTCACGACAATATACAGCGAAGTGGGGCTGGACGTTGGAACATCCCCCACCCTTCTCCGTCGCTATCTCAACCTCCTCCTGTATGACGTGTCAATCTACCAAGACCCCCCCCCCTTTGCCTTCACATGAACAACACTAGCAGCTAGCACCCAGTACGATCAGCAAGCAGCACCAGATCTGGATCGCCGTTAACGGATGCAAACCTTCTGTGTACGTATTACCTGCAGCCACTGCACCATGCAATCGAAATTTTTTCCAAAAAAAAATAAAAAAAATAAAAAAAATAAAAAAAAATTCTAGACTTCCACACATTAGTACCGCTTACTCGCATGTGGTGGCCACGAGAGCCCGCCACGTGATTATGTCATTCGATGCGGCGGCGGCCCTTCACACCGCACAATGTCCGCACATGTTCATTCACGCGCGTCGCAAATAATGTAATCGCCTCTCCTAGCAAAAGGGAAAAAAGAAAGAAGCACGGAAAAAAAATACGACGAATTTCGCATCTCGACTTACCGCCCTTTGCAATACCAAGCCAGCAGAGCCAATAACCAAACACTTTCGCATTCCCCAGCGCCCTCATGTGAAGTCGCACAACGGTCATGTGCCGCCTTCGCCCTCCCTTTCACCGACCATAAAAGAGAAAGTTAAACTATATGATCTTGGCTATATGTCATGCCGACCAAGAAAAACCCCCATCTAGAAGAGGAGATCGCCGCCGCTATTCCCCACCGCCAGCCTGCGCACGAGCGGGGGGGGGAAGGGTGTGCGTCGCAACTGTAATTCGGTGTGAGTATCGATTATCCGATTGGGCAATGCACTTACTTTCCTGATTAGGGCCGAAATCGCCGGGCTGGGGATAATGGGCCTTTATCTGACACGGTTTCTTCTGGCGCTATTGGGGGACGCAGAAGCAATATCTTTTAGTCATGGCACAGCAGCGTACCCGCTATTGAGAGTTTACCAACGTAGTAATGGCGTATTTGCTCGCCTTGACGTGGCTCAAATCCTCAGCACGCGGGTACAGCAGCCGCTGAGTCGCTGGTCGTATGTCTAATCTACGCGTGTCATTGAAGCTGGTCGAGTCCGCGCTTTGCGTACCACGGGCGTGCTGGACCTCGCAGCACGGTGTACTACAATCATATTCAGTGCTTCTCAAAGAAACAAAAGAGATAAGTTCAAGATCTGGGACTTTAAAGGGCTGCAAAAAGGTTTGGAGAGACCGGCTGGGCCGTTTAAACTTTGCCGAGCAGCAACCACCACGGCATCACGCGGCATTGCCTACCAGGAATTCGCAGTGGGCTATAGCCCGGCAACTAAACTCTATGAGCATCACGCCAGCTCAAGGACCCTTGAGGCCGCTGGGCGTGGATAAGCGCTAACTACGCATCCGCTGCAGGGCACATTGATCCTCTTGCGAAATTGGCGGTCTTGCATGCCGCATTCCTCAACATTAAAGGCCGTCTCGCCATGTTGTGCCTCTTCTGGAAAGAAAACTCGAGCTGTGGAATGCTGGGCTTCCGTTTTTAGTAAGCAACCCAAAAATGGGGATAGCGCTGACATGGCCAGCTATGTACGTGTCATTCTGGTCCGTTGGATGCGTGTCATATGTGTTTTGGGAAATGCTATACGTTGGCAGGTGATGCTATGCAGTAAGGTTTAGTGTGCCAGTTTGGGCGTATGTAGCGTATAGGAAGCATCTGGTTTGGTAGTATTGATAATGTAGGAGCTGTTCTCATTCATCTTCAAGTCGGCTACATTGTTTAATAGGCGTTCCAACAAGCCTCTGCTGGGGATCAGTTCTGCGAGTTTGCGCGTTACAGTTGCTTGAACTTATTGCTTTAGCATTCATTCTCCCATATACAATGCATTCGACTTTTGGGACGAGGTCGTAGTGGATGAGATTGAAGTATCGAATGCTACGAGGATTTCTCGTGTGTGGCCTTGACTTGAGGGTCATGTTCCATGCTACGTGGCACGTAACACGGTTAGAGCAGCAGAATCTGTTTCTGTAATAAAAGATGTGCCTCTTTACATAAATGTTTTCATCTCCTCGGTACGCGCCTTGTAGGATCGTTTCTTGGCTAAGGCTGAGTCTTGACATACTAGTGTTCCGGGGTAAACTACGCCGCTAAGCACTCATGGGATGTTCCGGCTAGTGAAAGCTGAGATGGAGAGAAAATCAGTCATTTAGCGCATTGAGTGGAGATTGTTGAAGAGAAAGTGACATTGATGTAGTGAGAGGCTAAACCTAAGGCATCCAAAGTCCGCCTAAATCTGTAAAGAAAGTTGGACAACCTCACATAGGATTTAAATGTGAGCTTAAACATGTCTTCGAGGCGTAATATAACCCTGACATACTGCTTGAAGAACTCCGTTTCTCATATCAGCAACTGGACGTTGATTGAGTTGTGGACTATGACTTATCAGGCATGTCCAACACGAACACCTGAGATTACTGCCAACTACCCTAGCAGGATTATTATCAGCACTTTAAATAGTAGCTCTAATTTCCAATTGGCATGAGCTTACTTCACCCTGCAACGTAGTAATATCGTTATAAAGATGAAGACTTTCGCTCGTATTGGTGCATCCATGCTGGCCACCTTTGCATCAGCGAACCCCACGCCAGCCGCATCTGATCCATCACTCTTTCCAGCGGGTGTCACTTTACCTACTAAACATACTAGATGATTTAGTACCCCACCTCCTCTTCTCGTCGGAGCAGGCATAGAGAGCACGCTCTTTGCTGCCAGTAGCATTTCATCTCATCTCATCTATCGACCACATTAAGCGCAGAAACATTACAGCTTTGCAGGAAGACTAAAGACATACCAAAAGCAGCATTGTTTATCGAACCCTAGAAGCTAACATCTACATCCCTGGAATAACCGCAAGGGCTTCTATCCGTGTATTATTAATCGCGAAACATGTTGCCCTCTCATATTTAATGTACATACTAGAGTCGTAGAAAGAAATCTTAGAAGACAGAGCTATTTGGTAGCTATGGTAAATTTTATAATAGCATGCGGGTCTCACGGAAGTCTGATCATGTGGCGGGTATGTATATGCGTCAAACTCCGCGCCCTGCCGTAGCACCCTGCCACGTAATCACGTGCTCTTACTAGGTGTTATACAGGTACATCTGATCGCTGGTATGGCTCACTAGCGATCCGTCTCGTCGAATAAAAGTACTATTGCTACCGTGCCATTCCGCTCTATCTAGTATCATAATTAGAGTGCCCATTTGCTTGTAAGTCATTTGGACGTACCACAGCGAAAGTCACACCGCATTAGAGTGCGTGTAATGAGAGTAGTGTGACCATATTACAGCTAAACTACAATGACAAAAACATTGGTGCGAAGTGTAATATCTGCGGCTGTTGCTTTTGCTTTTAGACGTATGCTGAGTACTGGTCGAAGCCTTTCACCTAACCGCTGTTTTTCCAGTGGTCTTCTCCACAGCACCAACATGCATATCATGCAGCCCACCCAATATAATATCAATGAAAACCTAATCGCTAATGCGTCATAATATAGTTGGGTGTTCCCGAAAGTTAAAGGCAAAGATGTGGTCTTTTTCGGACGGAGTCCGAAAAATATTGTAGCACTCTACAACGCAAGCAATCCAAACCCAGCACCCAGGAGCATGTTGCTGTATTGATCGTAATATATCGCTCCAAAAGCTCCGTTGAGTCTCTGCAGTCTCTCTTCTTCACGTATTCGCAGCCTTTCTTCTTGCACTCGAGCAAGCCGCTTGTCTCTAGCTAGTCCGTGCACCGATCAATGCGCATAGCAGATCATTGCGGGGATACCTAACTACCAGCTCTAATTGTAGTATGTTAAACGAATTCCCAGATCCACACGAATTGTTCCTTCCAGTCCCGATGGGCACCGTCGTAAGCGGGTCGGTAGGTTTGGCAATCGTTTTTCTCGCCAACTCTCCTTAGATTGTTTGGCCTGGAAACATGGCTGACAATGCGAATTGCTCTATAACGTTTTCGTCTTCGGCGAGCGTTGCAATGTCTCCAATCGGGTTCTCGAGGGAAACAGGGCGGGACGCGATATTGTTATGTGCTCGTAAAAAGGACCGAGAGGGTCAGAATCGTACGTGGCGGAGCTGTCTTCACGTCTTGGCAATTAACGTTTTCCCAAATCCACACATTGCCGGGTTTGTTCAGCGCTTTCGTACACGTCCTGGAGCGTCGTGTTGCTGGGGCTTACTCCGAATCTGGTTTGCTTGCCGTTGCTATACCATGCAGCTGTAGTACTAATATCATGGTAAACCTGGGGAATATCAGGAAATGGTGCCATGGCTAACTGCCGCATGGAAATGTCGGTAAGTGCTTGGCAACATCGCCACCCTGGGCATGGGTCTGCGAGACCAGCACCAGCAAAACGGACCTCTGTTTTTATGCTCTTCCGCTCCTTTCCACGGCGCCCGTGACGTGTTATGCCATTCTGACAAAGCCGTCTCGGTGGTAAGCGAACACCTTTCGGTTCGTCTTGCGGGTTTGGCCAAGAGCGCTATTTGTTTCATGAGTGATTTTGAAGCGCTATACATCAGCCTACTACGTATAATGCGATACGCGCTCCATACAGCTCATGAGGCTAAAAGGACCAGCTGCAATGAGTACCAGCGCGAAATAGGGGCATGTGCATATGTACAATGGCTAAATTTAGGATGTACGCATGATAGAGTCTGAACGCGTAGATGAAACGGACCATATGCTGAACAACCCCTTAAGCATATAACCAATGTCCCTAAGCAATGTTTCCAAGCCAAACCAATGACATCCGCCCTGCTCACAGTAGCTACATGTGCATGGCCTGTAGGCAAGGACATGCAGCAGATGGCGGTCGGCGGAAGAGATTAATCAACCCCCCAGCCTCTGCCTGTATTTGCTGCCTAGTGCCAGGAAAACGAGGCAGTGGTACTTTATTTTCGGGCCGAGAAAAGGCTTCGACGCGTACCTCTTGACTGAAGCAGTCATGGCGCTGGTCTGGATTTGCAAAGAACTCCGAACATGCTGGGATCCAGCTCAGGTACACAGCCGCCTTGAGCATCAACAACTGGAGAAGGAAAAACTCACCAGCCAATAGACGAGACAGAGGATAAACAACGACATCCCAGAGCCACGCTATATCGCTTTGCTTCCAGCTTCCGTCTGGGCCGGCAACCGCACGGAGATTGAGTATGAACTGGGCATTTCACTATTCAGCGGCTTGTATTGCTCCTGGATCACCACGGCATTGCACGAACTAAGTAGACATAAATACTGTTCGGGAGCCCGACGATCGCCTTCTCCACCGCATCCAGCACATCCACCAGCCTTCCTTCCCTCAATCACACAAAAACTCCAAGTCTTTGGACTCACACCAATCCTCCCACAACAAAAATGCACTTCCTTCACCTCCTTCCCGCCGTCTTCGCGCTCGCAGCAGCCGAAACCAAGTTCCTGCGCTTCGTCGACATGGAGTGCCAGAGGAGCGACTTAACCTACGTCAAGGTATCTGCGGAAGAGCAAAAGCAAATCGTCAAGGCCAACTACGCCACTACGGGCCTTACACCAGAGGCGTCGCGCGGGCTGTACACGGCCATTGCCGCCGACCGGTGTCCTTCCAACGCCGACGACACATACGCATGGGTACGTATTTGGGGACAGCCTTTTAAGATTCATTGAATGAAATACTAATTCACGAGTGTAGGTCACCATTCCCCAGTGGAGCGGACCCCGTGGCGGCGGCGCTATCGCTGCCATCTACTACAACGACACCGACACGTACCTTGCGTGCCGCTACTTGGCTGGCGTTGTCGGCAACTACGCGGGTTTCTGCCAGCCATACACGGCTTAAACAAGCTTCTGAAATGCCCCCCACGTACCCTACGTTTTCATGTATCTACTACGACTAGTTCGACGCCATCGATAGCTATCGATAATCTTAATCAATGCAAAAAAAAAAAAAAAAAAAAGAAAGTGGTCCGCTGCCTTGCATGCGTGGGCAAACTCCAAAGAGAAAGTTAACTATAGCGCGCGATTCTCAACGTGACCGTCTTTCCATGTGCCCATGATATCTTCTGCCTTGAAACCTCCAAAGATTGACCGGACCTGGGGGTATGTCGGGAGTCTAACTCTCCTCACCAAACTGAAGAAGCTATAGCTGCTTAAATTACTACTACTACTACTACTACTACCACCACCACCACAACCACCACAACCACAACCATTACCCTCACGCACCCAGCACCCAGCAGCTGCACCACCAAGAAAAAAAAACACGAAGAAATCGCATCCTTCACACTAGCATACAATAGTATCTGCTCAAAGCAAGCGACAGCATCAATTAGCGAGCTGAACACGACCAACATGACCATGGCGCAGTACCCAGATATATAGAGATATATAAATGTACGTACGTAGTTTAGAGCGACTATTGTCAAGACACTACAGACATACATACATACATACAGACATACATACAGACATATATTACACGCACATGGCATTCACATGAGACTAGGCACTTGCACTCGCCTCACACGACTATTGGGCACACGAGAAAGAAAAGAAAAGAAAAGAAAAGAAAAGCACCATTCAAAAGCGCGACAACACCATTCTTCACCTTGTCAAGACATGAAATTTTCGTGTCCGTAGAGAGAAAAAAAAGCAAAGGACAACACCACACTTATGCAACGAATAATGGCTACCATACCGCGATTCCGTCATGAGAGAAATGCAACGGTAAAAAAAATAATAAACACAGTTACTCTTGTTCATCTTCCTTGTCCGCAGCTCTCTTCTCCCTCCACGCCTCCTCCAGCCTCTTTACTTTTTCCACACCCTTGTTATTCGCCACGCTATTCTCCCACTCGGCCCATTTTTTGAAGACGCTCCTGATCCTCGACGCCTTGCCGACCTTTGTCATTCTCTCGAACAAATCGCGCACCTTGTCGGGCTCGCCGTGGCTCTGCTCCAGCATGAGGTACATGTCCCAGACATCGCCCTTCTTGGCAAAGGTGTCGACGAGACCTTCGAAGATGGTTCGGCCGCGCTCGGTATCGCCGTTGGGCGACTTGAATTCTAGCGCGGCAAACTTTTGCGTGAGATACCGGTGTTGAGGGGCGGCAACCGATTGCGTGGCGCGTTGGAGGAGGGCGCGGGCTCGCGTCGGAGAGGGGGGCTGGACGACATCCATGAGGAAAGTGGCGTACGAGAGCCAGAACTTGGGGTCAGGTGTAAAAGACTTGTTCTTCATCATGGATTGGTAGAGCTGGTCGGCTTTCTGTTCGAGTGTTAGCAAATCATGTCAAGTGGTTCTGGGAATTGCAAATACGTACGTCGATCTTGCCCGAGGAGATGTAAATTTTGATCATTCGCTCGTGTACCTCACGAGCGTCATTGTTCTGGCAGGCCTCCTTGAAGACGCTGGTGATTGCGTCGTCACTAGCAAAGTCGTTTTCCAGATGCAACAACGCGGTCCACACATCCAGTTTCTCCTTCTCTTCGCGCGGGTTGATGGTGGCCAACGCGCGACGAGCAATCTGGCGCGCTTTCTCAATCTCATTGAGCTCGCGCTGGAACACCATGTAGCGTACCCATAGCTCGGCGCTGTTTGGCTGTCCGAGGAGTAGGCGCTCATAGTCAGCATTGGACTGAGGGCCGTACGCATCAAGATCGCCGGTGCGATCCTCTTTGATGGTGGCCTTCTTGCTTTTCTTCTTCTTCTTGGGAGCATTGTCATCCGATTCTGATTCAGCTGCATTCTTTTCCTGGTCAAAGTCGAGAGTAGCGCCTGTCCAGTCGAAGCCAGAAGTGCTGAGACTCTGCGCACTTGCCTTTGGCTCGTCATTGTCAGAGTCGTCCTCAGAATCAGCCGCGTCTGCAAGCTCGATATCGTCGTCGCTTTCGGCGCTCTTGACGCTCCTCATATCAACGTCATCGCCGAGCTCAATGCCTCCCTCAGAGTCCCCGTCCTCAACGTCCGAGGCATCGTCCATATCCTCATCTTCTGTCTCGCTCTTGACCTGGGAGTACTTCAATGTAAAGCTGACCTTTCGCGACTTGGGATCGATCTTGATGACTTTGGCCTTGACAATATCGTCCTTTTTGTACATTTCCCTGATCTTCTCCTTGTCGACAGTGGCATCCGCTATTTGGGAGATGTGGCAAAGACCGCTGACGTTGTTTGAGTTGTCAACAACGAGGAAGACGCCAAAGTCCTCTACATGCCTGACCTTGGCAGTGACGATTCGGCCAACCTTGAGATCTCTGAATTCAATGGGCTCGACGTAGTCACCTTTGATGATGGACGTCTTCAAGCTCAACTGGGGATTGCGTTGGTCCTCCTTGTTCGAGATGACCTTGCCCGTGACTAACTGGTCAACATGGAAAGCGCCCTTCCACTCTTTGATGTATTCGTCGGAGAGATGGCTAACACGAACGTAGGCTTCAACATGCGGACCTAGGCGAACGTAGACTCCGTTGTTGGCAACATGCTTGACAAAACCACGAACGACTTGGTTCACCTTGAGCTGAGATCGGTCGGTGATTTCAGGATCCTTGATTGGCAACGAAGAGCTTAGGACCCTGGAAGGCCTAGCTGATAGTCCTAGTTTCTTGTTTGGGAGGTCGATGTCAATGATGCATACTCGCAAAACGTCACCAACCATGAAGTTGCTGGGTTGGGCCTTGTCGTAGTCATCTGCGAGCTGCTCGAGGAAAATGGGTGCAGCGATGTTCTCATTGATTTGGACAACAATCGATGCGTCGTGCAGCTTAGTCACACGTGCAGGCAGAACGTGGCCAACCTTCAAGTCTTGGAGAGTGAGTGCTTTACCAGTCACTGTGGATGCGGCTGTCAAGTCTAGCTTTCCAGCTGCAACGTCCACTGCCTTGACGCGGACCTTAAGAGCAGAGCCCACGGGAAAGTTCTTTTCAACGTCAGATAGCTTCTCCAGGTCGTCGGTCAAATCGAAAAAGTCGATGCGTCCGCGGATGTTGGCCGAAATGTTCACCCAAACATATCGCTCGGCAATGTTGTTGATGAAGGCGATGTGAGACGATCCAACGGCAATCTTCTCAAGGCTCGATACATCAGCCTCGTTCTTGATCGCTTCGGTCTTTGCAGTCATTTCGTAGGTGGTCGTCTTGTTGCTCGATCGAGATGTAATGGGCAGGAAACGGAAGTTGCGAGGATCATGTCTTCCCAAAACGCGGGCCTGAATGGTCTCATTCATCTTGAAATGCGCGGTTGGGTGCTTCTTGTCAGGTATGCTATCCCAGTCATTGAATAATTCCGAGACAGAGATACGACCTGGAACGTTTGACGCAAGCTCGACATTGAGTTGGGTATCTTTGATTGAGCGGATCCGGACGGTTACCAAAGTACCAAACTTGATGTCATCGGTCGATGACAGTTTAGGGTCGACTGGGTTGACCAGCGGCTCTCCCGGTTGTACTGGAGGGGCAGCGGTAGCCTTTGCTGAATCCACGTCCGACTCGGCCTTCATCGACAGCCAAAAGAGTCCCTTTCCGGTGTCTACATGTGTCACACGAGCAGTGACGGACTCGTCCTTTCGGAGTCCGAAGTTGGGCGCCGAGACCATGTCTTCTGGCATCTGCGACTTGAACAAGGCACCACTTATACCATTTCCAAGCTCGATAAAGGCCTTGTCAGGGAGAATGCCACGTACAAATCCATGTACAGTCTCGCCCGCCTGAAGATCCTCGATGCTGATGGCAAGTTTTGAGGCCTGGGCGTCTTTCCGGAGACTGGGTTTATTGGACACGGTCGCTGTTTTGGACTTTCCATGCTTGGTAAGAACCACGAGGTCCTCCAGTGTTCCGCCTACGCGAATCTTCTTCATTGTGGAGACGTCCTTCTTCTCTGATCCGTCGGTCAGATGGCCCAAGCGAAGGACACCCTTGACACCACTGCCAATATCCAAAGTGACCGACTCGTCAGACTTTTCGACCACTGTTCCCTTGACGATGCCACCAGGATTGAGGGCATTGAAGGCTGCTTCCTTGATTGTATCCACAGCAGCAGGATCTTTGCAGGACACGAGGAGATGGCGTTCCTTTGCGTCGACTGAAAGGACGCGCACATTGACGACTTGGCCGGCATGGAAATGTCGCGTAGCATCATCGATGAATGCTTCGCTCATTTCTGCAACTGGAAGCCATGCTTTCACATCGCCGTAGAATCGGACGGTTGCACCATTACGGCGGACGCTGACCAGGATACCAGGACCAGTGGCGCCTTCGGAAACCATTTCGTAGTTTGTCCAGGGCTTTACGTCCGAGTTTACCAATGACTTCTTGAGAGTAAGCTGGATCTGATGTCTCGCAGGCTCGGTGTAGAGTACGCGAGCTGTGACTGGCACACCTTCTCTGAACTTGCGTTCTGGGTGTTGCAATCGGACATCGGCCAAATGCATCTCTGGTACTAGACCAGTAATGCCATCGGCCAGGCGGACAAGGACAGCGGTGGCTCCGGTCTTATCAGCAATGAGCTTGTGCACTTTGCCCTTGACAACTTCACCAGGCTTGATGTCCTCAATGCGGAGGAAAGGCTGGTCAAGGACCTTTTTCTCGAGAGAAAGCTGAAAAAGGCCATCAAGCGCATTGTAGCCCACAACTCTTGCCTTGTGCTTCGAGTCGAGCTTGAAGTCGCCAGCTTCTTCGGAGAGGATATCGACCTTGTCGTCAGAGAGTCGAGAGATATGAGCAAAGCCAACGACATCCTTGATACCGAGATCGAAGAATGCCCCTTGACTTTGTGCCACTTTGACGACCTTTGCGCTCTCCACAATGGTGGAGATTGGGAGGAGGTCAATCGGGGGCTTGCGCTCCTTGGGCTTTCCAGACATGCGAGTAGAGAGTCCAACCACATGCTCTAGCAAAGACACGCCGACCTTTCTAGGCTCTGAGCCGGGGCAGGTGAACAGAACACGAGCCTTTACTTTGGATCCAATCTTGTGCTTCTGGGACACGTTGGCAGCCTTTTCAGTAGCTCCGGAATGGTAGGCATCCGCGGTCGCATCTACCAAGCCCAAGATCTTGCCCGTGATGGTGTTTGGTGTGGCCTCGGTGACAAGAAGGTCGACTGCTGTTCCGGGGAGGAAGACGTCAATAGTAGGAGCGTCTGTCAAGGTGTTGCCCTTGGTCAGATTGCCTGCTTTGGTGTGGTCTGCGGAAAGCTTGATGATGCGCCCATCAGAGTTTAGGCCTGTAACCAGACACATGAAAACAGCTCCCTCTTGGACCTTTGCATGCTGCACCGTTGGACCCAGTTCACCCTTGGGCAAAAAGCCCTTCAATGTGGCGTCGTTCAAACCCAAGTCCATGACCAAGCCATGGTCTTCATTGCTCACGACAGAAGCTTGTATCATGCCATTGACGGGGATTTTTCGCTTGGCCAGACCCTTGTTGACCAGCTTGGGGTCGATGGAGAGCTCCAGTCGCTTCCTTGCTTTTGCGCTCTCGTCGCTTGTTGCGGTGATACATGCCCTCAAGTACTGGCCCACGGAGAAGAGGTCCTTGAGGTCAACATCGTCGTATGCATCGTCGTCGCTTCCGTCTGGTTTTTCCTCGTCTTCTTCCTTGAGAAGCTTCTCTAGCCTCTCGTTGAGCTTGTCGCACACGGCGGTAAGAGGAACATAGCCGACGAGGTTGTTGGGGAGGGCAAGCACAATGTCTTGGTGTGAGATGTCGGTAATCTGGCCAAGAACAATGGTTCCAGGCGACAATTTCTGGCTGTGTTAGCCTAGCGCCGAGGCTGCGCAGTATTTTTCTTACCTTGTAGCTGAGACCCTCGACCTTTACCACGTCCTCCTTGTCTCCGCTCTCGTGCGTCTTTTTGCTCTTCTTGAATTGCTTCTTCTTCGACTTGGGCGCGGCCTTTGCGTCGTCGTCAGAACCCATGTCGCTGTAGCCGTCTTCGTCGTCGCCGCCGCCGCCGCCGCCGCCGGTGCGCTTCTGTCCCGACTGCTCGAAGAGGACATCCTGGGTGGCCTTGATCTGGATCTGCTTGTGCTCGAGAGGGGTCAGGACGCTGGCGCCTCCTCGGGGAAACGACTTCTTCTCCTCGTCCTTGAACACGCTGGCCTGGGGAGCAGCGCTCTGAGGCAGCTTCGACTTGGCGGGTGACTGCTGGTCGACGTCCGACTTGCGGCGCTTGGCCGAGCGGCCATTGGATGCGCTCTTGGCCTTGTTGGATGGCGTGGCGCCCTGCTCTGCTTTCCGCTTGACGGCGCCCATGTTGCGCTGGCGGTGTCGAGTCGCGGAGAGGGTCGAAGTGCTGAAGAAAGCGCCAAGAGTTCGAAGCGCAATGTTCTTCGACTTTTTTGAGTGGGCCCATGCGCGCAGGTTCTCCGACCAACCGCCCCGACAGGGAAGGCGCGCCTCACACGCACACCATGACGAGAGCGGGCACACAACAACAAGCACCACCACCACCAGCACGCCCGCGCGCAAGACGTGTCGCGGAGGGGCCGGGCAATGCGCACGCCTGCTCCCAGCACATGTGCATGGTGGATGCGCACGCCAGCAATGCTGCGCGCGCTCGCTGCAACAGCGCCGTGCCCCGCGCTGACGCCCCCAAGACGGGCCGCTGACTTGTGCAAGGGCAGGCACAGCACTTAACCGCCCAAAGCAGGCTAGCGGCGCACGTCGGTCGCGCCTGCCCTTCGCGACGTGCGGCCGCCGTGCGCCTTCCTCTCCAACCTCGCCGGGTGTATATGAGCATCCGTCCCATATCGGGTCGCTCCTTCTCGACGTGTGCCTGCGTGTGCTCGAGGCTGGCCGACTGGGCTTTTTTCTTCGCCTGCCGCGCCCTTCAAGCCGCCATGTCGTCGCCGTGCGCCCCTCGCAGCATGCTCCTCCAGGAGCCCACGCCAGAGCTCTTCTCGTCGCCGCCGCCCGCCTCGTCGGCCACGGCATGCTCCCGCAAGCCCAAGCGGCCGCCGCCCATCACCCCCAAGCGCTTCACCCGCTTCTTCACCCCGCGACACTCAAAGGATGTCGCCTCGCGCGCTTCTCTGTCGCGCTCGGGCCGCCAGCTGCAGGACATCACGCGATCGGCCCTCAACCGTGGCCGGGCAACGCGAAGTACGCCGCGCAAGACGGTCAACTTTGTCGACATTGAGAACCACATGCGCACCCCGCACACGTGCGCCCGCAAGAGGAAGTCGTATCTGTCGCCCGAGAGCTCCCCCGTCCAGTCGTCGCCCTCGAAACGATCGCGTTACGTCACTCCTTCGGCATTCGACGTACTCGACGACGCGCCCGACCTCGACGAGCCGGCTGTATATCCCACACCCATCCGGCGCCTGAGGCAGTTGGGAGGGCCTTCCCGCACTCTGCAGCGGTCATTCGGCGGCATCCTGGGCGTGGGAAGAGGGTTCCGGAGAGACCATGGCACATCATGGCAGGACCAGACGGCCAACTTCTACAGCGGCTCAGACGACCTTCATCACCTACCACAGGATGCCCCGCCCTTTTGCACCGCCAGCTGCAACAGTGAGTTCTGCCCTCTACACCAACCTCGTCGTGTTGCTGACCCGCCCCAGCCAACTCTCTGCTCGCCATAGGAGACGAAGATGGAAATATCCACCTGCTCGATTCCCATGGTGACTTTTCCAAGGCTCATTTGTCGTGGAAAGCCCACTCCAACGCCATCATGGACGTGCAGTTCTCTTCAGATGACACATTCCTGGCAGCAGGCTCTGGCGATCAGACAGCACAGATTGTCGACGTGCGCACGCAGCAGACACTTGCCGTTCTTGCTAAACACAAGTCGTCAGTCAAGCAGGTGCGCTTCCAACCGGGCGACGACAAAATCGTAGCAACTTCGAGTCGCGACGGTGCTGTGCAGATCTGGGACCTTCGGTGCAAAGGCAACCAGGGCTCGATCCACTCGGCCTGGGGCTCGGATGCCCCGTATGCCAGCGTCGTCCGAACACTGTCGTCCGCTCATGCCGATGTCAATATGCCGTCATCTCTCTCTGCCAACCGAACCCCATCGAATACCAAGGCGGAGAACATTAACCGCCGAAACGACATTTCCGTTACCGCCCTCACCTTCCTGCCCGAGGGCCGCGAACATTTGCTTTTGACCGCCTCAGACGCATCCACATGCGTGAAGCTATGGGACATTAGGGGCCGATACTCTCTTCGAGGCCCTGCCATTCCCATTGCAACCACACGGCATCCCGAATCTCACAACCGCCACCGACACTTTGCCATCAACTCGCTTGCCCTCAGTGGCGACGCGTCCCGGCTCTACGCATTGAGCAAAGACAACACCGTCTATGCCTACTCTACAAGCCACCTTATTCTCGGCACCGCTCCGGAGCTGTCGTCGTCGGCAGCATCCAAACAAAAATACTGTGGAGTTGGCCAAGAAGGTCTTGGTCCCATCTACGGCTTCCGTCATCAGAGCTTCCACGCTGGCTCATTCTACGTCAAGGCATCGTTGCGCAAAGCCTGCAACGACCAGACGGAGATGCTGGCGGTTGGCAGCACCGACGGTGGTCCTGTATTATTCCCCACCGACGAGGCATTCCTCAAGCGCGAAGCCCAGTACGACGATGACGATGCAGATGATCTCCCAGATATCACTGGCATTGCTGGAAAATCTTGCAGACCATTACTATTCCGCTCGCTCACAAACAGTCGCTGCCCAGACACTATTCCCATCTATGAGCACGGCACAGCTCTCGTCCGAGGCCACGATGCTGAAGTTACCAGTGTTTCCTGGGCACGCAACGGCAGCTTGATCAGCGTAAGCGACGACTTTCGCGTCCGGAGGTGGAAAGAAGGCCCCCATGCCAAAGAGCTCAGAATTGGCGGCGAGGGCGAGGGACGAAGATGGCAATGTGGATGGGCTGCTGTTGGTGAAGATTACGATGATGACGACGAGTAGTTTGTGCATCTATACCCAGCGCCGTTTGTTTATTATACCCCTTTTGTGTCTTATTCCCCAATGTTTGGATAGCGAGAACGAAGAGATGAATACAGTATTCTTGATATATTGTAATAAAATAAAATACCTTCTCATTGCATTCTGCTACTTGACTCTGTGATTCATTCGTTGTTTGACGTATGGCGGTGGCTGTATGCTTTCTCATCAACTTCAAAACGATATGCAGCCCCCACGCCATCCAGACGGGACGAACCGGAAACCACATCGACCACCAACCCGGAATCCAGCTCATACGTCACGATACGATACGTCCATGCATTCCAGTCGGTGCCATTAGCCTCTTTGCGGTTATATTAGGCGGTACCCGAGCAAGTCAAACTTTACCACCATACTGGGCCTTGCTAGGTATGTAGACATGCTGACTGCATCATGTATGTATGTATGTATGTATGTATGTATGTAGACGCACCTCTCTCCCAACAACATGAAGACATATTCAAGCTTCTCCGAGTCCCCCGGTATTCCGGCGTTATGCCGTGGAACTAACTACTGTTTTCCCAAATGCAAGGTAAACAGAGAGAGAAAAGCGCCCGAATCCTCGACCCCGTTTTCCAATTTAGCCAGTGGATAAAAGTTCAGCGCTTCCAAAACATGTGATGTTGAGGCTGAAAGAAAAGAAAAGAAAAAACGGACCATCGTCAGTCTCCATTTTTTTGGTTCCCTCATCATACGATCCAACACATACTCGGTTGCTACAAGTGCATTCTAGCATCGGGGGTGTTGGGGCCCGCTAAGTACCGTTTCTAGAGAAGCGCCTTGACCAGAAACAAAGCTCCTCGGAACCTCAAGCCTCGGACCCAACAACTCCCTCATCTCGACCTACCTGCTTGGAAATCCCGAGAGGAGAGGTGTGACAATGGCAATGACATGGGCGAGTGGAGCCACATGTCAACGCGAAATGCGCGCTCAAACGTCGAAATACATACTTACTCGTGCTACGGAGCTTTCATCACAGCCCACATGGGCGTTTACAACATACGATGCACCTTGCTTCCACCCTGGTTTCCTTGCAGCTTAGCCTACTTACTTAGCGCTTCGGGACGCAACGAATCTCTTGGACCTTTCCAGACCATTGCCATGCAGCGGCTCGGAACGTCCAATCCTGCAGGATCGCCCACTACAGTAGCAGTAGTACAGTAAGCTCGGTCATCTCATCGGAGCCCGCTTCAGGAAACTGCCTCCGCAAATGCTTCTCAGCAGCCCATCACCAGACGGTGGAGCGACAACTAAAAAAAATAATAGCAGGGTCCAATATGTGATTTTTTTTGGTTGTGGTTCTGTGTTTCTATGCATGCCCACCAGTTATTGGGTTAGGTTTACTGCGTTCAATGCTCAACGTCGCTCCCAATTGCCTCCAGTACTTATCCAAGTAATACAGTTTTCGCTTCAGGCTACTACTTACTTGGGAATTTGGACGGCGAAAGAACGGTGACTTGGCTTTGGAAATAACAAAAACATCCATAATAATAACGTGGTTCATAAGCGAGTCGGTCACCCAAGCGAGTCGGTCACTCCCCACCAGCGCGTTGACGTTGACACGTTATCACAGTCTTTTATTACAGTCAATAAACTATTGCAATATACCAAATTAATTGTCAGAATCGCTACTATCACTTGCACTATCTATCTCAACTGCGCAGGTACGAGCGTTGTGTCCAGTCTGCTTGCAACGCCCGCACCGCCGCTCTCCTCGCACCCTCTTCGACGCACTCTCACCATCACCACGACTGCTACCCGCCTGTTCAGCTAATACTTCTTGTACTTCGCCTACAGTAAGAGTCTCTTCTGTCCGTACGTATCGCCGCTTGCGGCTCTTACGCTTATTTGCTGTGTCTAGAGCCTCTCGAAGAGCAGCTACTTCCTCCCTCATAAGCGTCATCTCATGTGCTATTTGCTGAGCCCCTTTACTCAGCTGTACAACCTTCTCGTCAAG